TCCCGTTGACTACTAGCAACCACTCAGACGGCGCCAGCATTGTTCCCTACCACACATCACAAAAAGTCGGCATCATGGATCACCCCTTGAGCCAGGTAGTGACTACGATCTACTATGATTTCGAAAAAGTATCCGGGCGGCCGTCGCATTTCCTTGCCGAGTACTCAGGCCAACGTCAAAGTCAACCATCGTAGCAGTGGCCATCAGGGGGAGAGCGCTCTGTGAACTCGAAACCGCCACGAGGTCCGAGTTTGTTAACATGAGAGAAAGTCAATCATTCCAAGTTCCTGCGTGGAACCGCCTGTCGAGTGTGAAGTTCTCGGCAGACGGCCTCTCCCATCGCGTACGAGAGCTGCTTTCTCTATCCAGAACAAAACCAACACACCAAGGAATGTGTTCGCACCATGTCCATCTCACATGTTCAGCACCGTGTCACTCTGCCTCACCGCAGAGCCGCTAACAGCACGTCCTCTGTGCCAGCTCAGCTGAGTAGGGAGTTACTACCATCATTATTACTGCGAGGCTCCAGCGCACTTGGCGGCTTGGCAGTCTGACACCGTTTCTGCTACATCACTCGACCACCAACATGACAGGCAGCCATGTCTGGGCGTTTGCATATCGCGTGTGCATGCGTTGCGCTGCGTTTGCGTTGGGACCCCTCTGATATGAGCAACCTTGCCGGGGAAGGGAGTAGAGAGAGAATCCAATCCCGTGCCAGGTTGGAGTGATCAGACAGACAGATATCCTAAGAGTCACTACCCAGGTGCTCTCTCGGCACTACCTACTCGAGATTGCGAGCCTGCGCAACCAAGATTTTGGTGGAGCGAGTCTTAGACTACTACCGAGTATACTTGCATGGCTCGCGGCGGAGCGGAGATTTCCCACTCTTCCTCCGTTCCATTTCCATCTCGGAATCTTTCCGGCGGGACTCGTTGGCGATGCTCGCCGAAATGAGATCTCCTTTGTCAAAATACTAAAAAGATTCTTCCAACTCCTCGCCTCCACAGCGGGGCCTCGGGGCCTGCCCAGGAAGAGCCTAAAGGGAAGCCCTGTCTTGGGCAGACAGACACAGTTGAGAGACACGCGCAGCCGCCGACGTGCACCATCTCCGAGCGATCCGGGCGCCAAGACCAACCAGAACCCGTGATACCGCAGCTGTTATAGCTGTCCTGATTGGTTTTTGCGCCAGCGAGAGACTCACCACATTGCCAGAGGTGTCGGTGAGAATAAGCTCGCAGCTTCACGGGTCAGCTTATCAGCCCGCCAACCTACCCGTAGGAGTAGCTCAACGGTGATCCCCGCCACCATTCCTTCTGTTGTGGTACTGCCTATCGATAAAGGCGACCGCTGCTGTGGGCTGTTTTCGCTACTGCTGTGTCTCACATCATCCATGCATGCCGCACGCACCCTCTCCTGTAGGTAGAGCCGCTCGACGGGCCAACCACATGAGATTACCGCTCTCGAAATGAGGCATGCTTATGCACTTGTCGACTCCCTCTGACTCCCTCTGACTTGTACATACCGTCTGCTCCAATTGAAGACTGGCATGGACGCCAGAACCGCGACGTGGCTCCTACAGTCAGGACACGGACGGGGATGCCTCTTACCAGCATCGCTTACTACAGTACTGATTTCCAAGCGCATGAAATTGTCACAGCCCTCCTGGTATTGCGCCTGGCGGTACGGATAGTGGGTGGGTGGGTGGCCTTGCAAACTGGCATTTGCCTGCTTGCTTCCATCATGGGTCAAGGCCAGACCAGCCGAAATCGATGGTTCACCGCAGGACAGGATCACCCCGCTGGTGGCCATGGTTCACAGGTTTTCGTCCGACGTTGTGCAAGCACCTTTCCGCATCAGTCCACACGTTATTCCGGACCTGGCTAATCGTCGGGCCAGTCCCGGCATTCGGTGTTAGGCCCGGAGCCGATGGGCATTGCAACCGCGGACGCGCCAAGTCGAACTCCGCCCTCCCCACTCCTCAACTGTCCACCGTCCGGCACGGCGACCAGAGAGGTTCCATATCGGGAAACCCCATTGAAGTTGCCACGGAGCCTTTTTCTTTCCTGCGTCAAGTCGCGTGAAGCTTTACCGCAATGGCAGAGGAATGCGGTTTCGACCAGTCTTGGCACCAAAGGGAAACGAGGGGGGAAACATGCAAGTGCCCACGTTGAGACGCGCGCATTTGCACGACATCGGACCGATGTTTCAAAGTGGGCTTTCAGACGGGACCGTCCGGTCGGGCCGTCGCTGTTGGAGGTCACCCGCGGATTCAACCTTAGCTGAACTCGCGCCGTTCTCCGGGTAACCTGAGGAAGGAGGATAGGCAATATTGAATGAGAAACACCCTGGGCCCGGGGGAAGAAGGGAGTCGGCATAGTGGCATCATGGCGCATAACGCTGCTGTTCCCTTTGGGCGTGGTATGTGCTATGGGAATCGTCGGGCCGTACGATGCTTGGGTTGTGGCATGAGGTCTATTTACTTTCTCACTTCCCTCCCCCTTCCGTTTCTACCTCCCCCCATCCCAGCCGGGCCTGTCCCTCTTGCCTGGGAATACAAATTGCGTTGTTTGAACTTCGGACCGCTTCGTTACCTTTTGTTCTATTGATAGCATTCGCTCCTTTGTCCGCTCATAAGTCTAGAGGCGGGAGGCGGGTGGATGATAGAGAGCCCGTATGGGCCGAGTACACACGTCTCTCCAGTGTCGGAACATGCTCCAACGGCTGCGATTGTTCTCACATATACACAAGTCGCAATGGGCAATAGAATACACGGCTTCGTGCCAAGTCCTGTCTCCCTCATTGCCGTGTCTCGTCAACCCAGACATCTGCACAGGGAATTCGTCCCCGCGTAGGCTTGGGCCTTGGACCTCATGCATACCCGAAGAACGAAGAGGGGGGGGGGGCGTGGAGAGGGAGCAACCGACTCGCGGTCCGAGTTTCTTAACAACGTTTCTTGGCGTGCTCTCGGCGCTGGTACCGGAGAGGCAAATGTTGAGATGATCTAGAGTCTTCTGACGCGAGGGAGGTGTGTTTCGCATGATGGGTGGCCAAAAACAGATTTACTGTTTGTTTTCTTATTGGGTTCAGGGAACTTCCGGGGAAGAGGAGGAGGAGGAGGGGAGTGAGGGTGTCAAGAAGCGGATAGGGTTGGTACCTGGTCAGGTCCAGGTTTTGATGGAAAGGAGAAAATAGAGAGGCTTTGGTCTGTCGTGGCCACCTCACTGCCGATTTAAGGTAATGTTCGTGGGTGTGGGTGGGGCGGGTAGGAAGGAGATTGGAAAGTATGTGAGCGTAAAACGGCTGAGGCTTATAGCTCTGGGAGCTTGATCCCGGAGATTCAGAAGACAACGCCGTTGGACGGAGTGTTTGCTCGTGTTGGGGGCTTTCGACGGCTATCTGTAGCCTTGCACGCTCGGCAAGGCCTCCGAGACGCGGGGAGCATCGGGAGACTGGGAAGGGGTTAGAGGGGGACTATCGAGATCTCTCGCTCGCCTTCCCGGGGTGGACAGCGGGATAAGCCGAGAAAAGTTTGCTGGTCCTGGATGGCTGTTCGGGCGGCTCGGCGAGGTTCAAACTTCGCTTTGGTTGTCAACGGCCGACTTCGGCACGCCTCCGAGGGCGGCGGTCGTCGACGGCCGTCTAGAGTCGATTCCGAAGGCGCAAGCCTTCTTCAATACCTCTATTAGCCAAAAAGAAAGCAGTTAGTGCTCGGGGGGGGGAGGGGATGCCGGACACCTCTCGGACGGACAGGTAGGAACGCAAGGCGTTGCCTCTTTGGCGCAGTGGTCGGCGGCACACCGTCGCTCCATGCGAATCTGAGGCTGGTACAGTACCATCTATAATTAGGAAGACGGCACAAGGGCAAAATCCAGAAACCTGGTGAGACTGGAAATATGAGGGGTACAAAGGAGGGGCGACATCGCATTGTGAAGCAGTGGGTCGCCTCGCCGCTGGGAGAACACTATGCCCAGGCCAGCTTTCTTATGCCGCCGAAGCGTGAAGCTCTCGCCCCTTCAGTATCGTGAACTGGGGGGAAGACTGGAATGCTCAGTTCGCAGACGGCCCCGGCGGTGTCCAGTTCGGGTCGGGATGCAACAGTGGGAAAGGGGGGAGAGAAAAGAAACAACCTTTTCAGAGAGGGGGCTGTGGTCTGGTTTCCGAAAGCCAGAGCCGGTGGCGCATGAACCGCATGGCCCGGGACGCTGCTTCATGTGGGCGATGTTGGTCAAAGTGTTCTCAACCTAAAGGGGCGCGAGGCTCCTTAGGGGGGCGGGGTGGGCGAGGAAAGGGACTCTTGTTCGGATCGTGGTTCTGCGTTTTTTGTCGTGGGATAAGGCGTCTGGGATAATTGTAAAGTTCTGTCAGGGGAAAAGGACGGCAGGATAGGCAATGTCGGCACCCTCTTCTACCTCCCCGGCCCTGTCTCCTGCAAGTCGGGCGCGCGTGACCGGTCCCGGCCGGCCAATGACCGGTGCATGGGGGATGTGTGGGTGGAGCTAGGGGGTTGGTGCCGCTGCCGAGTGCCGCTGCGGGTCATGTCGGCGGGCGGGGCCGGCGAGGGGCGGGGACGCGGGCATGCGGCGCGGGCCTGAATTGTGGCCTATCACAGCTTCTCGGGTTCAGGGCGACAGGTGATGGATGCAGCGATTGTAACCCTCGTGATGAGGCTTTTTTTTTTTTTTTTTTAGTTATTTTTTTATGACGGACTTGGGAGGCCTTGATGTGACGAGCTTGGCTGGATGAGTGTGGCACGTGGTGGCAATGGGCAGTCGGCGGGAACTGGGAAGGGAGAATGAATGTTGACCTGCCGTAAAGGGGCTAGCAATGAGTTGACGATGTCAGCACAAGGAGAGTGACTCTTTTCGTCTATATAAGTCTAGCCCGGCCAGCTCCTCGTCGAGATGATTTGTACAATTGTAGCCGTGTCTCATAATCAACCTGTAGTCATTCCGCAGCAATCAACTGAGGGATCCCCCAAACGAAGCCAGCGCCGCAAAATCATGTCTCGGAAACCACCGCAGCCGCTTCCCACCATCCCCAAGGCCGACGAGATCGTCCCCATGGTCAAGCGCATCCTCGCGGTCCAGCGCGTCGCCCGCGAACGCGCCGTCGCGACCGTCTCCCCCTCCGAGGCCAGCTTCGCCAACGTCATCGCTCCGTTCCTCGAGGCTGACGACACCACGCAGGGCGAGGCGGGCGTCTTTGGCCTGCTCCGCTTCAGCGGGCCGGACAAGGCCACGCGAGAGGCCATCGAGGAGGGGGTGAGGCTCTGGTCCGCGTCGACGGCGGAGAGGTTGCGATTGGAGGGGGTCTACGAGCTCGTGAGTGCTGTCAGGGAGAAGGGCGAGGCGCTGGGGCGCGAGGAGAGGAAGATAGTGGAGGACTTGTGGCTGGACTACCGCGGGGCCGGGCACGGGGTTCTTGACGGGGAGGGGATCGCGGCCTATCTGGAGAGGAGGGAAAGGATCGAGGAGCTGAAGGAGGAGTTTCGGAAGAATCTGCGCAAAGGGGGCGACGGGGTGTGGCTCGAGGAAGCAGAGTTGGAGGGGGTTCCGGCATCAGAGATGGAGAGGTGGAAGACGGGGAGGGAGGACGTGCCGGAGGAGAAGGGGAAGAGGTTCGTGACACTGGAACGGGCGGACTATGACGCTGTTCTGCGACATGCCCGTGACCCGGAGGCACGGAGGCGGGTATACGTTGCGTCCGACAACAGGTTCCCGGAGAACGTGCCGCTGTTCAAGGAGATGCTGGTGTTGAGGGACGAGAACGCCAGGTCGTTGGGTTATAAGAGCCACGCCGAGTTCCGGATGCAGAGAAAGGTTGCGCCGTCGGCGGAGTGGGTGGAAGGCTTCTTGGCGCGGCTGAGGGCGGACCTGATGCCCAGGGGGCAGGAGGAGATGAGGAGGCTCGGGAGGAAAAAGAGGGAACACCTGCAGGGGCTTTCTGTCGGAACCGAGGATTCGGGGGACTGGGAGAAGATCTTGCCGTGGGACTGTGCCTTCTATACCCGCCTCCTCGAGGAGGAGGCCGAGGTCGACCACGAGAGCATCTCGGGGTACTTCCCCTTGGGACACACACTGTCCGCCATGTTGGGTCTCTTTACCGACTTCTTGGGCCTCGAGTTCGTGCCGGTGCCCAGGGAAGACTTGGTGGGCAAGGTCTGGGATCAGGAGGTGGAGGTTTGGGGCGTCTGGGAGGGGAGAGGGGAGAGGAAGGGTGAGTTCGTGGGCTACCTCTATGCCGACATTCTCTGGAGGGAGGGCAAATACCGCACTGCGTGCAACGTCAATTTGCAATGTGTAAGTCGGCCCGCGCGGAGAGGTAAAGACGGAAGCTGTGCTGACTGGTCATCAGGGGTATGCCAAGGGGGGCGGGAGCAGAGTGTACCCCGCCACGGTCCTCATGTGTGCCTTCCGGCCTCCGACGGAGGCATCTTGTGCGCTGTTGAAGCACCACGAGGTCGTGACCTTGTTCCACGGCAAGTTTTGGACCCCTTTCCGCCCCTCGTCCCACCGTCGGCCACCATTAGACCACCTTTGCCCCCTAACAACCCGCTCTGGAAACTGGCTAAACATGACCCAGAGCTTGGCCACGGCCTCCACGACCTCATCAGCCGGACGAAACACACGCGCTTTCACGGCACGCGGGTGGCGGCTGATTTCGGCGAGACGCCCAGCACGATGCTGGAGAATTGGTGCTGGATGCCGACAGAGCTGATCAAGATGGGCCGGCACTACACGCGGGTGGTCCCGGCGTACATGTCCAAGTGGCGCGAGGCCCATCCTGCCGGCGAGGAGCCGCCGCCGGAAAGGATGCCGGAGGAGGTCGTAAGGAAGCTGGTTGAGAGCCGGGAGCTGAATCGAGGGCTGTGGTTTCTGCGCCAATTGTGAGTTCTTCGTCCTAAGAGTCGTCAAAGTGCACTTGATAGCCTCCTGGACAAGACAACTACCTGGCGGGGTGCTGACGGCAGACAGGGTCTTCGCGACGTTTGACATCACCGTCAACAAGCAAGAGTCCACGCAGGCACTGAGGGATCTGGACGAGGTCGGGTTGTTCAACGATCTTCAGGACTCTCTCAACCTGAGGCCTAACCCGGACAAACGGGGCTATGGATACGTCCACTCCACACACTTTATTGAGCTGTACGATGCTGGATACTACGCTTATTTGAGGTATGTGTCAAGTGGCCTTACTACTCCTCTTCCTCCTCTTATGACTTCTGTTCCGATAGTCATACGACTCGGTTCTTTTTGTGTCCGTCTGCTCGGAAGCTGACCTACATTCTCCTCAGCGCCCACGCCTTCGCGGCGGACTTCTTCGAGACGTATTTCGCGAGGGACCCTCGCGACCCGGAGGCGTGGGATCGATACCGGCATGGCATTCTGGAGTACGGCGGGAGCAGGGACGCGATGGGGATGATGACGGAGTTTCTCGGTAGAGAGACTGGCCCGGATGCGCTGTTGCGGAGTCTCAGCTTGACGAAGGGAGACCGGAACTCCTTGGGTGCGAAGAGTTGGGCCCCGAGACCTGGTAAATAATCTATGATTAGGCCGGCCAAGTTACGAAATCACATGGTTTTAGTTCTCTAGGGAGTTCGTGGTAGCCTGTGCTCGCCGGAGGGCGCAGACACAGCCCGCCGGTCGGGCTAATAGCACTTGACTGATCGATCGCGCCCCGTCGGCAGATGCGCACTGAATGCTCATCTACCGGTATACAGAAAACAGCGAGGTTCGACCAAGGCCGTGTACAGGACAACACACACACCTAAACCGGCGCCCGATAAAGGCTGTCCGACTTCAGCGTTTCTCGGGCCGAAAATGAATGTCGTCAGCGATCCATTCCTCTCCCAGGATCCTTTCCCCTTCCTCACTAGCGTCGGCTGGGCAGCCAGACTAGATACCAACGCGTTCAACCCAACGTCGGCATCGTCCCGAGGTCTCTGCCTTCGTGCGATAGCCGGGCCACCATCGCAGCCGATCTCATCTGTCAGATTCAGACCAGCCGCTAAAAGTAGAGTGTGTGAGTGTGTCACTTGGATACCTACTAGCCAAAGAGGCTTAGACAACCTTAGATTCCCGCTGCTGGTCCAGCCAAGCCCCAGATTTCAAATTGCTATTGGGCAACTCAGCAGCATGCCAGTCAATCGGCATGCCCAGAGCACTCCCGGGCCGGACGGAAGTGCCCGATCAGCCAAGGCAAATAAGGTTGAAAGCAGCACCTTCAGGAGTGTCGGCCCTAGCGGAGCTCTTGGCTGAATAGTCCATTGCAGAGAGACCTTACTGTTACACACACATATATATCGCTATGTTCTGTTTTCGGAACCCAGATGAGCCCTTGAAGTACGATCACCACGTATCGACACGGCTGCCCTGTCAGTCATGATCGATCTAACGGATGTGATAGGCTGTAACGGACTGTGATGGGGACCGGTCGGGGCGCCCACCTACGTCGCCCAATGACGCTGTACGCAGAACAGTGAAGCAAGCAGCGAAACAAGCCGAATAAGGGACAAGTGAAGATACGGACGAAGAACAGTCCAAGCTGCTTACCTGGGTTCACGGTTGACCTTCTCTGAGCGGGGGTATCTCTCCGTGCTCATAGCCTACGGCTACGGCTGCTTTCGGCACGTATCAGCTTGTCATATAAACCAGAGATATTCCCAACTACGGAACGGTTTCACAGGATGCCTATCATCAGTACAGAGTTTGTGCCTGTTCTGGCTACCAGTTTGCTCGGTACTTCACACTGCTTCACCTCCTGCGCTCGTTGGTGATTGCTTCTCCCCGACCGAAGGATCTGGAGAAAGTCGTCCGTCTGGCTCGCCCCCCCCCCCCCCCGAGACGAAATCGGCTCTCCGCTGGCAAAGACAACATCAGAATCGACCGCCGGCCGGCTACCAGACAAGAGCCCGGACGAACGTGGCGAAGGGTTCTGATCCCTGGGTGACGGTTCTGACGATGTACAAGGAGTCGCTGGAGGCCATCCGCGGCCAGCTCTCGTGGCCGCGTTCGGACGTATCGTACATCGCCCTGGCCGGAGACGATGAGCGATACGATTCGGCGGAGCTGCCAATCAATGAGAATGGAGCGACGCTGTCGTCGCTTCGCGCGCGGGGCTACGGCGCCGGACGGTATTCCAAATACGTCATACGGCGTGCGTTGTTGTTCCTGTTGCCGTCGTTCCTGGCCCGCAAGCTCGGGCACGTCGACGAGGACGCGGCAATCCCCGCGGCCACTTCGACTTCGTACTTGAACGGTCTGCGCGGCCTCGCAGCGTTGCTCGTCGCAATCTCCCACTACATGAGCGATGTGAGTCCCCCGGCGTTCATCAAAGTGGAATGTTACCCGTCAACTAACGAGATCCGCGTGCGTTGCAGCACATGTGGGTCAACCGCAGCTGGGGACAGACGCCCGCCGACTATCACCTGGCGCAGCTCCCGTTTGTGCGGCTCGTTTACAGCGGCGTCTTCATGGTCTGCGTCTTCTTCGTCCTGAGCGGCTTCGCGCTCACGTATAGCCCGCTGAAGAAGTGCCACGTCGGACAGAGCGCCGACGCCATCGCCAGTCTCCCGTCCAGCGTGTTCCGCCGCCCGTTCCGGCTCTTCATGCCTGTCATCCCCACCCTAGTCGCGACAACCGTAGCGATCCAGCACCAGGGATTCTACCAGCACAACGGCATCAGCCTCGTGGGGCCCGTGGCAGGCGGTGTCTGGTCCCAAGTCCTGTTCGTTTGGGGCTCGCTGGTTGCCATCATCACGACCAGCAGCATCAATACCATAATACCGCCGGCCTGGACGCTGTCGACCGAGTTTCAAGGATCGCTGCTCGTCTTCACGTGCTGCTTGGTCTTTGCGCGGATACCGGCCCTGGTGCGTATCCTCTGCGTGCTCGCGCTCTTGGCCTTTTTCCTCCATCAAGCCAACTGGCAATTCTGCCTCTTTCTGGCGGGCATGATCATCGGCGACATCCGGCAGATGCGGCAGAAGCTTCCGCCTCTCAAGGGGCTGAAGCGCAAAGCCGCCAGCGCCGCCTCGTGGATGCTGCTCGTGGTCTGCCTCTTCGTGGGCGGCTGGCCGTTGGATGGTAACGGCTACACGGCCGTCGGGTATTCGTGGCTCGTCTGGGTGCCCGTTTTCGGCATGGAACCCAAGCACTTCTTTCCATCTGTCGCGGCTGTAGGGCTTGTCGTGGCGCTGGAAAACCTGCCCGTCCTACAACGGGGCCTTTCTTCGCACAGCATGTTGTACCTGGGGGAGATCAGTTTTGGTATGTACCTGGTGCATTGGCTTGTCAGCAGAAGTTTCACCTGTAGCCTCAAGCACCGGATGTTGCAGGCGGGCTACAGCATGAGCTGCGCCTGGACTGTCACCTTTGTCATGATGTTGGTGTTCTCCATCTGGCTTGGAGACGTAAACTGGAGGCTGGTCGACAAGAAATCGGTGCGATTCTCACACTGGCTGAGCAAGAAGCTTGGCATATAGAAATCGGACCATACATCTTTAGCATTAGGGTTTCATCGTTAGCCAATATACTTACTTCCAGATGGCTTGAGATGCTTTGAAAAAATCCTAGTAAGCGCCCGTACCCGCCAGAGAATAACCAAATTGACCAAGACGATTCATCGACGGCCCAGCCATATATTACTCAAAGCCAACAACCTGCGGCGACTTGCATGTCCCCGAATCAGAGGGCACAAGTATTTCCTATTGCTCTTTTATACGTCGACAACAGACTCACGCCCATGAAACGTGAATGTGTCCCACTGGGTATTACTCTAGGACGGCTGGCTGTATGTCTTGTATCGATCTACTAAAAGGGCTGTGTTGTCGTAGGCCTGTTCTTATATGACTGTAGGAAACTCGCCCGAACGTATATAAAAAACCGCAAAGAAAGGGTGATGATGCCACGAATCAGCCCGACCCGTTATTCGAGTACGTGTGTATGCCACCCAATGACGGAGCCAGGCCGTGGGCATCAACCCAAGGTATCTTGTTCTCCTACCGTCTCTCTCGCTCCTGCATGCTTCATCTCCCCGACCGTGCTCTCTGCACACAGGTCTGTACCACTGGGTACAATGCTACTGCGCGGCAGAGGGAAAACCGTCGCCGTTACCTTGACTTCTCCAAATTTTGCTGCCCGACCTCCTCGCATATGCGTGAAGGCACCCCTCAGATTCTCCTTCCTCAGACTGTCGAGGGTGAGAAGGCGTAGCCCTTCAGCTAGCTCCAGTGATGCACAAGGGGGACTTTCGCCAACACTGTGCATAGTGTCCTGGAAAACCGTGACTTTTACGCTCGGTACACTACTTGGACGAGACTATCGTCGCAACGCGGGACCACTCCAGAGCCCCTTGCTCGTCTCGATCACCTTGTTCTGCTCGTTGCCTGGCCGCAGGCTTGCTGGCACACTGCTCGGCGTGGGTCCGGCATCTGTCATTACGACATCATTCTGGCTGTCAGCGTCAGCCTTAGGTTGTGTGCCATAGCCCGAATCCTTATCGCGCTGGCTGCCCACGCTGATGGCGCTGTCGTCTTTCCTCAAGTTGGGTTGAGCCTTCATAGCCGCGGCGCCCCGGGCAGGCTCGCGCGATCTGGCGCCATCCATCAGGTTGGCCTGACCCTCGCGGAGCTTGTTGATGGCGCGCACGGTATCGATTGCAGCGTGTAGCGTCCTGCGCGCGTTGAAGTTCTTCTTGACGTTTGGCAGTAGGTTCTGGCCCTCGCCTTCGCCGCTATTGAGGTAGCCGGCGACGAAAGGGTGCTGCAGGGCGTCATGCGCCGTCATGCGCTTCTTCGGGTCGATGGTGAGGCAGAGACGGATGAAGTCCTTGGCATGGTCGGAGACCCCACGCCAGTATTCGAAGGGTTCGAAGCAGTAGTCGGCGTTTAGGATGGCTTGCATCTCCTCGAAGTCGCTGTCTCGGTCGAACGGCGTGTAACCGCACAGAAGGAAGTAGGTGATGACGCCGAGGGCCCAGATATCGACGGGCTTCCCGTGGCCAACCTTCTTGAAGATTTCAGGGGCCATATAGCCAGGGGTACCACATGTCGTGGTCAGGACGTGGAACTGCTCCTCGTCCATGATGCGGCTCAGGCCGAAGTCGGCAATCAGGAGGTCTGCATTGTCCTCTGGTGTGCGGAAAAGGAGGTTCTCGGGCTTCAGGTCACGGTGAACGATGCCGTGGTCGTGCAGGTAAGCTACTGCGGAGAGGGTGGCGCGGATGAGGTCGGCAGCGTCGGACTCGTAATAGCTACCTTTACGGCAGATTCGGTCGAAGAGCTCACCGCCGAGAGCCAAGTCGGTGACGAGGTAGAGGTTGTTCATGGTCTCGAAGTAGTCGACGAGGGTTAGGATATTCTGGTGGCCCATCGAGACCTTTTTCAGCACTGCGATCTCGTTACGAACCTGCAGAGGGGGGGGGAGGAAGAGGCTTGGTCAGCTCGGCTGCTCGATTGGTCTACCAGTATAGACCGAGAAAGGGCGCACCATGTGTTCTCTGCCGGCCATCAATCGCTTGTTGATGACCTTTGCGGCGTAGTAGCGACCAGTATCGATGTGGACGCATTCTTTGACGACGGAGTACGATCCGGCACCCAGCGTCTTGCCGACCTTGTACCTGCAGGGCTGGACCTGAGGTTGCTGGGAGGCCCCGTTGGAGCCAGTGGAAGACATGGCTGCGGCGCAACAGGTCTTAAGGACGATGTTGGGGACGCGGGGGGGGGATCGATGCCGCAAATGTCGCCCTCCTGTCAAGGTTTTGGCGATTGTCCAAAGGGGAAAAGTCGGTTGGGTGGTTGTTGGTGGTGGTGGTGGTGGTGGTCGCGACTTCCAAAGATTGAGTGAGGTTGGCGGGGTAAGCAGGCAGCGAAAGTCGGTATTTTGGTGATGGCCAGGAGGTGGGGGCGATATCGTCGTTGGTTCGGATGATGACCAGGTAGTTTGGTCGCAAAGAGACAGGGCAGTCAGTGTGCGACTGCAGCAGGAGGTCGCAAACGGAGAGCAATAATGTTCCCGGTTAGGAAAGAAAAGAGCAATGAAATGAGGCTCTCAATCGGATATTCTGGCAAAGACGGCTTCAGAAGAGCGAGCAGCTGACAAAGTGGGCACGGCAAATGCCTGGATTGATTTTTTTGGGTCGACTTGATGATCGACGGTCCCTGTGCGAGCCGATTTTACCCTTTGGTTGGAGGTGGAGGTGATTGAGGGGTCCCGCGGGACCAGTGTGAGTGAGGCAGGGATCAGACGGGCATAAGAGTCCCAACTGATAGATGAAGGGGGGGGGGGGGGATGATGCGCTGTCAATATGACACTGGTTCGCAGATCCCGCTGGGTCAAGACGTCGTCGGGCACGCGATGGAGGGTATATAGACACAGAGATGATGACGGACAATGATGGGAGAATGAACAAAGACAGACAGAGAAGACGAGGATTGAACAGGAATGGACGGAGGAGAGACGAACAACTAAGTGGGTTCGGTTGGAGGCACTGATGAGTTCCAGCCGGGCCTTTCAGCTGGACACATTAGGGATTAAGGGGGAGACAGACCCATCTCGACCTCGTGTTCCGCGGTTTCTTCCCCCACCCCCCGCTGCTTATCTAAGGATTGTTCCCCGCTTCATCATCGAGATATCTGCCCCTTCTACCCCTTTATTCGCCTACCAAGTTCCTTCAGACAATGACAGCCCAATGGTGACGGAGTTTTGAGCAAGGGAAATGAGCATGTCGACGGCCTTACAAAGCCGCCGGCCCAAACCAGGAGTCCCACGTGAGATTCCCGCAGTCCCCGACCCCCCACCGGTTCCATGCACTCAAAGGCGCCGCCCACCAGCCCCGTTCCTCTTCGTCCGTTCCATTCTTTGACACTCGGCAGTCAGCTCAAGCCTCGTCCTCCAGGCTGCCTCTTGCCGTCCAGATATAGACACGCACACGGGCCAACGATGGCAAAGAAGTCGTGGGTTTCCTTCATCAAGAGCGGCCGGCCTGACTGGCGGCTGCTTTTGGACAATGCATCGGGCTGCACAGGGCATCTGTGTTCATCTACCCAAGGTACTCGTATAGGTACAACAGTTGTTCATGCGTATACATATCTTACACCAGCATATATCGTTTTCCTCCATTCTCTCTCTGCCTCAGGCTTTTCTCTGCCCCTCGTCGTGCATCTTTTTGATGCCCCAGCAACCGTCTCCGCGAATCCTTGCCGTCTCCTGAACTTAACCATCTTGGAGGCGGTTCCCGTTGGAAAACGCCAAGACCATGTTTTCCAGCCCTGCAGCCCAAGTACCATTTCCCGAGTCAAAGTTCAGGGTCCAGGCAGGGTCGCCCCCGTTTGCCGGCCTGCCGCGCTTGGCTTGGATTCCAGAGTATGGACCCTGCCCACCTCTTCCCTTTTTCTTCTCGGCGTCCATTCACAGCAGGCTGGCCTGGTACCGGGCTGCATGTCCCAATCAAGTTTGCTGAGTTGAGCCAAGTGGGCGAAAAAAGAAGGGAAAAAAAAAGTTTGAGCAACAAGTTTTGATGCCGCAGTGCAGCATCAACCTTTGGGCTGGATAGTTCATTACTCGCGCCTTTTGATGGATATCGATGGCTCGTGCAACGCACGTCACCATGCCATCTCCTCTCAACCGCTCAGTCGAACGATGGCCTTCGGCTCTGCTTCTTGGAACTCAGATGCTTCTTCTGCTTGAGTCGCCCCTCGTTAAATGACTTTGCTCTGTGCAAACACGTCAACCTCTGACTTGGCGTCGCAGACTTGTGCATATCAACTCACATTTCCGCATGCTTCTTCTTCTTTTCCGGGCTCGTCTCGCCGGGGACGGCCTCCTGGTATATCCTCTTGACTTCGTCAATGAGCTTTTGGTGATTCTCTTCCACATTGGCCTCTCTATGCCGGTGCGTCTGGGCCTGCAACGTCAGAGCATCCGACCTGGCCGTGTAATACTTGGATTCTCTAATGCTCCGATGCAACAGTTTCGGCAGGACCGGCAGAAGATCTTTCACAGGCCACACAGTGACGGCTTTGCTTTCAGTCCTGAGGAGAGGTTAGCAGTAAGCTCGCTTGATAGCTGGCCAGCACCTACTTGTTGACGTGCTGTCCACCCGGGCCGCTTGAGCGTGCGTAGGTTGTCTGACCCCTGGGAAGCTGGCTGCCATCAAAAGTCTTGTGCCATGACCTCGCCCTGTCGAGCTCTTCGGGGTCGAAATCGGACTCGAACGCTTGATACCTCACCCAGCGAATAGGCTGCAGGGCCCGTATGAGAGGATTTCTCAGGGTTGGCCGTACGGCCTTTAGAAAGCCTGTAGTCAGCTTCATCGTGCAGAACCGAAGTATCAACCCGGTGTCGACAGTTTGAAGGTTTGGACTAAGCCAGTTCTGACGGCGATGAACCTTGGCTAAAGAGTATTATAGAATCATTGGGGGTGTTGGTCGTTGAATAAGCACCGGTGCAATGAGCTTTCGTGTCCAGGTCTTCACGTCGCTGCCATGCTCAGACTCAGACAGACTGACTGCCTGCTCCTTGATGAGCAACAGAAGTGGAAGTGGGGCTTTCCGGAGCAGACGAAGGGCCGTGCCGATTGACGGCTTTTACTGTCTATTGATACAGTACACGCTGCGTCAGCTACGTACTTCCTTTGCCATATACGGCTAGCGTTTAATGTGGATCGAAAACCCGTTTTCCCGAGATCAACTTGGCCACAATGCGAAGAAGTAGGTGGGCACCTACCGGTACACAGTCCTTTCCCTCAGTCTTGGGTCCTCGAGCTCTCCGAACCTTTTAACCTTTTTCCCTACCGCACACACACTTTCGCGCGACACACCGACACTCCGCCCGCAACGACACCTCGCGCCCATGGCTTCAAGGCCCGACAGTCTCCGACCTCGTCCTGTCCAATCAGTCACCTACGCAGCTCAAGAGAATAAGCTCTGAGAAATTTCTGACCTGCCTTTACTTCTTTTGAAGCAAACTTTTGTGCAGCTTCGCGAAAAGCTCTTCTCCGCGCGCACTCATCGTCCATTCCATCGGAAACTCCCCGTATCCGCGACCTACTTTTTTCTCTTCCTTTTTTTCCCTCTCGTTTTTAACACTCTCGCGCCGCGCCTGCTGTCTTCCCACCCCCACCTTCCTCCCACTTTCCTCCCGCGTTTGGTTCTCAGCCCAATCACAGCCAATCTTGCTTGCTTCACCCTCACCATCGCCTTGCCTTTTGCGCGCCCTCGTATGGCAACTCCCTGCTGCTCAACTGAACTTGCAGAGAACAAACAAGGCGTCCGGTTGCCTTGTCCATCAGTCTCTCCCAGCCTGACTTAAAGCCCAACTTCCGCCTCGCAGCCTTTCTCCCTCTTCAATAAGCAGCTACTCTCTCTCTCTCTCTCTCTCTCTCTCTCTCTCTGTCTCCTCTCTCCCAAGCTTGCTTCTCTGCCTCTTTGCGCCAGCCTCGCCGTCGGCACCAGCAAGGCTCCAAACTATCGCCGCACTGCTCGCCTATCGTCATCACCAAACAAACAAACGTGCGCCCTCTTCCAACAATTTGATGCCAGAGCCAGAAGCCACCCCGGAGTTCGAGGCTACTGCCGCCGACCTCTCGCCCCACTGCCCATCTCCCCTCCACTCCGCCGCTCCAGCTGTCGTGCCTGCTCTCCAGGACACTGCCGATATCCTTGATGCAATGTCCGCCCAAACTAATGGAGTTGCCCACGGTGGCGTAGACGCTTTTGCACCCGCTCCTGTAGTCGAGTCTGCCCCGACCGACCCGTACGCCTTCGCCGAACCTGGCGATGCAAATGGCGACAATGACGACGTCGACAGTCTGGATGATGCCTACGGAGAGGAAGAGGAGACAGACACGGTCAAGGTGCAGGAACAACAGGTGGAACCAGACGCCGGCGAGGATGACTATCTCAAGATCTTCGACTCTCCTCCTCGGGATGCGGATGAGGATGGCGCTGATCAGGATGATGTATCAAAGGCACCAGAATCCATGCACTATTCCGCCGCTTCTGCTTCTCTGACAAGCCCTGCCCAAGGGGTCCCTCCGCCTGTCGCTGATTCCTCGTCGGCCCGCGCTGCTCCTGTTGCTGCAGACCAATCTCCCACCAATCCCGCGCCTTCCACGACAGCTACCGCCCACCCAGGAGCTGATTCGAGCGCGCACAACTCGACTGCCAGCATCGCCGAGTCCAACGCACGCAATGACAATGCCCCCGAGGATGATCACGCCGTTGACATCTCTCGCCTCGTCGCTGAGATGACCGGCCAGACGAGCGAGTCCAGCGCCGGCCAAAGCCCTGCCGGCTCTACCCAGAACCATGATGCCCAGTCATCGTCCAACTTGACCCCCTCCGCGTCTGCTACTCTTCCTCCCAGACCTCCAATGCCCCAGCAGACGGCTTCCACGTTCCCTCCTGAAGACTATCGGGCCTTCCACCAGCAGAATGGCGCCCCTCAGGCCCCCTCCAGCATGATCGCCCCGCCCACGCCGGGACAGCCCTCTACCTATGTGTCTGCGGGTGCTCCAGGTGCCCCTGGCACTACGTCCGACGCCTTTGGCGGCCTTCCTCCTCCTCCCGCGACCGGCCTGAATGCGACTGTCCCGATCACATCCATGACTGCGCCTCCGCACCCGAACAATGTCGGCCATGCAGCTTACCAGCCGGATGAGACTACTGACCGCCAGAAGCATTGGGAAACATTTGTCAACGACGAGCGTCGCTACATGGCAGATGCCAAGTGGGATAGATTCCCCGATGGCTCACGCATCTTCATTGGTTCGCGCTCTCTCTCATCAGGCAGGCCTGACGGCGCCATTGACTTCTTTTCAGGCAATTTGTCGAGCGAACGAGTCTCGAAACGCGATGTATTTGACATCTTCCACAAGTACGGCCGCCTCGCCCAGATCTCGCTCAAGTCGGCCTACGGTTTCGTCCAGTACCACAACCTGGAGGACGCCCAGGCTGCCATGGACAACCTGCAGGGCATCGAGATCAAGGGTCGCAAGATTCGTAAGTGGCGTGGTATCGAACACGACGGGGCAAAGAGTGCTGACTATGGACTAGATCTGGAAATCTCGCGGGCTCAGAAGAAGAAGGACGGCAACGAACGTAACCGTTCACCAGAGCGCGGTGGTCGCGGGGGCCGACAGGCAGGACGTCAAGAACGTCAGGATGGGGCCAATTCGCACCATGACAATCGCCGCAACCGTGACGACTACCGACCGGGACGTTCCTCGCCTCCCAGACGCAACGGTGGCCACGCCCGCGAAGACAGTCACGGCGGCCGCGATCGGTATCAGCACGACGCCCTTGACCGGTCGCGTGGCCGATCTCGTTCTCCCCACGGTTACGGCCGTCAGAAGGACGGCTACCGCAGACGCACCCCCAGTCCGCCCGCCTTCAACCGAGCTGCTGCAGCGGATGACCGCCTTGACATTCCACGCCGGTACGGGAACCAAGTTCCCGATGTCCAGTTCCTGCTCCTCCAGGAGCTCAGCCGTGACTTCATTGCCTGGGTTCAGCGTGGCTTCACCGATCGAGGCTTGAAGGTGGATGTTATGTTCCTTCACCCGAGCTTCCCTCGTGAGGCAATCATCCAAAGACAGGTGATTGAGGGCGTCCACGCCATTGTGGACCTCGACGTGCACGCGCAGAATATAGGCAAGATCCCGATCCGAGTCTTCGACCGCTCAGGCGGCGTTAGTGCCCGGTATGACGATTACCGTGACATCGACCCCCCTATCGCGGCAGAACTCGTCCTCCGAGCCAAGTCGCAGGCGATTCCGGCGGCAGCGCCTTATCAAAATGCGCCGCCTCCTCAGCCGCAGTACCAAGGATACGGCCAGCCGTATGGACAGTCTGTACCGCCTCATGCGCCTACCTACCCTGGAGCCCAAGGTCCTCCGCGTGGTCCGCCTCCCGCTCAGCAGCCAGCCGTCAACCCGGCGGATCTCGCCAGCTTGATGAGCGGCATCGATAATGCGACCCTCCAGCGGCTGCTGGCTAGCATGAGCTCCCAAGGCGCTGGCTCGGTCGCCGCGAACAGCGCCGCCGGAGCTGCAAGCGCGCAGTTCCATGCCCTCATGGGAGGTATGCAGACGGCACCGCCTGGGGCACAGACTCAGCCTGCCTCGTACGGGGGGCAGGCTTATGCTCCCAACGGCCAGCCGCCGACAAGTGGTCACCCCGCACCAGTCGGCACAGGTGATTCAGCCGCGCAGGTTGAGAACATAATGGCACAGCTTGCTAGATATCGACAGTGATGCCCGCCGGATGAGGTGTCTATCCAAGGGGTTGAAGAGGCTTGACGAAGACACGACGACGTGGGGAGGGTTCATTTGTATTTACTACCCGGCGTTACGTGGAATGTGGGGGTTCTTGCATCGGTTGCACGAGGAAGGTGGGCAAAATGGTGTTCTAGACTTTCGCAAATGCTTTTGTTTCAGCCCACTTGAGGCGAGTCGTCTCCCATGCACTCTACGTGTGGGGGGGGCTGATTACATAAATACAGGTGTACATGACACTTTTCTCTCAGACCTCTTGAATAAAACAAGTAACTCAGCAAGGCTTTGAAAATCTGGCAGAAGCCTTACAGCTTCTCGGCAGGTTTGTTGAGGAACGCCGTGCACTCGATCTCGACGTCGGTGCCCAGCGGAAGCTGGTACACGGCGACGCACGTCCGGGCCTGCCCCCGAGGTCAGCTTGCTTTCGGAAACCCGCGGAGGGTACCACCACAGACTGACGAGCGTGGCAGGGGCTACATAAAAGAAGACTTACGGGCTTGGGGTCAAAAGTGAAGAACTCGTCGTACGCCTCGTTCATGGTGGCGAAGTCGGCCATCTTGGTGATGTAGACGTTGACCTTGACGACGTTGCGGAGACTGCTCCCCGAGGCCTCGAGGACGGCGGAGAGATTCTTGAGGGCTTGGCGCTGAAAGGGGGGGGGGGGGACCGAAGTCGCGTCAGTATGTACACAATGTCATGATATCCAAAGGGGGTGGTGGCGTGCGGTCAATGGGGGTTGGGGTTGAATGAGAAGGAGAGGCCGTAGGGCGAGAAGGGGGGGGGGGGGACAGGAAAGAAGACGCACAGTGCGGTCCTTGACGGTACCCTCGGCCTGCACCATGCCCGGCTTGTCGGGGAGGACGCCGATGTTGCCGGAGCAGTAGACCATGCCGTTGTACTTGATGGCCTGGGAGAACTGCGGGAGGGGCGCCGGGGCGTTGGTGGTGAGGACCTTTTCGATAGCGGGCATTATTGCGGTGTTTTTCTTCTTCGTTGCCGAGAAGTGTTATTTTCTGATGGATTGATTGGGGTATCTGGAGGGTGTTGGAGGCGGAACAGTATCAATCGGGCGGCTTAGAAAATGGAAAATCGGTACGAAGAGAGGTGGTTTGAACTGATTCAGGAGCGCGCGAGAGATTGGGGATGATAGGTAAATATCGAGGTAGACAAGAGGACGATAAGGCACCGGCGCGGGGTCGGAGGGCGTGTGGAGACTGCGCCGCCGGCGGGGGTAAGGTATGTTCAGTGAAGGGCGCCACAGGGCGCGGATCTATCTGAACGGTCGGGTGTACGGTTCGAAGCGCCTGTGCTCGGCGATTGAGGAACTTTGGGCCCTCAATGCGGTCGCCTGCAGGACGAGGAGACTCGGTTTCGGGACCTGAACGTCGTTCCATGCTCTCTGCTGCTGCTACGGCGGGAGGTCACCATGATACCGACGGAAAGCGTTTGTCTCTACGGAGTACTTTAGCGGGGTCACCTTCTCCGCGGGGCGGCGGGGATGCGGCGGAGTGGCTTGGCCGGCCGGAGCCGGCGTCTGCGCCGAGCTCTGCGACGTCGTCTTTGCTAGGGGCCGTCATCGCTTTTCCAAGCAGGAGAATTTGGGGGCCCGCAATGATCATAACTAGTTGGAGAGAGATGCGATTTGAATAGATAACGCACGTTCGGGTTAGCCTGGACTGAGTATGTTAAAGGCTAGGGTTCCATGTAGCCAACACTCTACTGTTATACAGACAACCTGTGTAAAAGCTTTTGTCTTTCAAGCACATCAGCGACCAGTACCGACTACAACAAGACCTCAGACGCTTTCCGCAGAATCCCAAGCGCAAATAGTGAGTGTAATCCATCTATATGAGATATCGTCCAGTCATAAGCGCCCACTAGACCCTACTACAAAAAATCAACCGGGCCAAGTGACAAATCTTTTAGCCATCCCTCCCTCGTCTTTGCTTTTTTCATCAGCAACTTGATAAATCCAGCCCTGGGCTTCATCTCGCATCTCAAGGACCCAGTTTCAGATGCTCAAGCAGCCTAGAGTGTGGTGTGTCAAGGTCAGCGCCACATCGAACGAGAACCGAAACTGTCCACAAAGCGTGCAGGCTACTACTATAGGCACTTCAAACGCCAGCCTCGGACACATACGACCATACCCACTGGAGAACTCGGGATCCCGTCCGCTCTCCCATAGATAAGCCAGTGAGGGCCGGATTAGTAGTTGAGTCGGTGACGATCAGCGAATACCTGGTGTTGTATGTTCTTTTTGTTGGGAGGGGGACGAAGGGACTTTTGAGGTCAATTCAACGACTAAATCCTAGGCTAGGCAACGACAGCCAAAGAGTGGGAGACGACGCCCATGGCCCATTGCTACGCTTTCATGTTGCTTGATCAGGGAGAAGAGATGCAAGTTACACTTTGTCGGCTTTCTATTTTAGCATTGCTTGTCGTTGAAAACAAACGTGAAAACTCAATGAGAATGACGTCCATGAGACGCGAGACATCATTGATGGTCTCATTAAGCGTCGTTTGGCTGTGGCTGTTTCCCAGGTCGGGATCGGCACCATGGTCCAGTAGAATCTTCACGAAGTCCTAGGTACTCCATTCTGCGGCAAGCAAGATCGGCCTTCGGCCTTCGTTGTCCCTTGCATTGACGTCGGCATCAGAGGAGAGAACTTCTCGAGCGGGATCTCCGTGGAAGCATGTCTTGGTTAGATGGAGAGGTGTCCTGCCGATTTGGTCAGCCTGGTTGACTCTTGCACCATTAGCAAGAAGTATCCTTGCAACATGAAGGGTTCACCTCTGTGCCTCAATATTAACCAGCGGGTATTCGACTTCGTAAACAAGGTGAACGTCTGCACTGTTGCTTAAGAGAAGCTTGGTGATACGGTGCTTGCTAGCCGAAACTGCCCTCCAAAGCGCATCGTGGCCTTCAGACTCCGCATATTTCATGTCTGCGCTCTCCTAAATGTGAACTTTTGCAGTTGCCTGGTTTCCTTTTGCAGAAGATACACACAGCGGTGGTGGACCAGATTCATCCTGTCGTATTGGATATCATGAGCAAGACCTTTTGATAAGTCGACGACAAATCTTTCCTTGGCGTCTTCCGAGATATGCTCAGCGTACTGGCGTTCAAGGCTCTTAGGGCAGAGCTCAGACACCATGGCGAAGTAGTACTCCATTCACTTCAACGTTCTTCTGCTTTAGAGAATCAATCCACTGTATGCACAGGCGAAAGTCATTCATGCTCTCGTGGTCCCTGACCATTATGTCCCTGAAGAGGTCTTAAGGTTTTCGGGGGTTTGCCCGGGCTTTTCCACACTGCAAACATGCGGCCTTTCTGAAACTCCCCATTTAGAATGCCAATGACAAAGACGACTCACATGAATACTCCGTAAGCCTTTCGAGCAATCTCCTCAACAATCTCAATGGTTCGGGGAAATTTCCCCATCGTCGCTTTTCAGCTTTATACGCACATAATCCTCCGGGTCTTTGGCGTGGCCAGCTTGCGCCTCCAATATCAGCTTCAGGCCTTGGTCGATGTGGATGCGTAGGTAATGGCGACTAGAGAAGCAAGCGCCAATCCGGGATGGGTCACAACCGGTGCAACTACACCCTTGATGCTCATAATCGGCCTCGAAAAGATGATCTTGTTCGACTGCTGTATAGGCCGTTCTGGGGTTTTGCTCCTTCGGTCTCGCGAGAATGGCAGGATGTTGTTGTGGAATGGCTGATCACCACGTCACCGAACACCGCCGCTAATTCCGACAGTTAGTCGAATACGTATGGAAGGAAATGTCCGTTTCATGTGCGATGCTACAACTGCTGCACTGATTGAGCCCTAGGGTGGCATACAGGCTATGGCGACATTATGCATGCCAATTCTACCGAGGGTATAGTTGTTGGTGTCGTCTTCGTGGACGGTCGGGCATTTGTGTTCAATATCAAGCATAGTAACCGCAGCGGACTGTCCGACTGGGAGAGCACAGATCCAGCTGACGTTGTATGCGTCGCGTGTCAATTCATCGCGGGCTTCCTTCTCTCACTGACTGAGGGCTTGGTTGAGACCACAGCCATCCAGTCTCGTTCGCTTCGTGGACATGTAATCTTGATCATCTGAATCCTGTGCGTCGCTATGGATACTTTTGATAGTCTCCATGATTGAAGCCACTGGAGAGCCCGATTCTGTGAGATGACTTTGATGAGATTGATATTGTCGGAGAATCCGGGCTTTTATGCTGTACATGGCACTTCCTCTGCTGAATGTAGAATTTTCTGTCGTATTCACCAATCATGGAGAATGGCCCGGTACATAGCTTGGCCCTCTTTTACCATTATTTGTTTGCAACTATCAGATATTCGGTGCGAGACCCCAAGGCACCAACAACGATCAAGGGCAAGCTGGTTCGGGATCCTAACAGCAGGGATAGCATGGCACTTGCAACCACTTGGTCACATCAAAGAGTTTTTGGACTAACAAGCAACCGAAACTGCTACGGCAAGGCTAGAGGCAGCCAGGAAATTGGAGCGAGAGTTTAGTTTTCATTCGTTAACCCTAATCCTGAACTCACTCGAACGGCCGCCCGCCCAAAGTTCCATCACTCCCCCTCATAATCTTGCTGTAGCACAGCAATTCAGCCTGTTTCATGCCTTTCTCTTCTGAATCAAACCGGATGACGCAAAAGAATACACTGGTTCATTCTCAATATCGAAGTCTGCATCCGAAGAAACCCGGTTTTTCTGGAGAGAATCGAGGACTCCAAAGAGGGTGAAATGGGGGCGATAGCACCACAGAACGGCTGTTACAGCAGTGATAGGCACCGCCACTGCCCAGTAAATCCAGAACTGGTCTGAAACCTGCCATGACCCCGACTCGGAATCGAAATTAAAGAAGGATGTGCTGAAGACGGCGGACACGAAAGTCGCCGGCAGGAACAAGAGCGTAAGGAAAGCGATGGTCTTCATGGCCTCGCTATCTCGCTGTGTCGCACGGCCAATGGCTACCGAAACGCGCGAGTCGAACTGGGCGACCATATTATAGGCGAGGGAAATCTCGTTAAAATGCCGGGCCTTGTTGGAAGCCGACCGCTCCTGGAGACTGCTGAGCATCTCCTCGAAGAACTGCAACCGCTGGTGAGTGTGATGCCAGGCCTTATTCCAGGCCGCTTCCTGCCGAGCACCAGCCCCCGACTCGTCTTTCAGACTCTGGTGCTGCGCCAAGATCTTCCTGGCAGCCGTGACGCCCAAGTCCAGGGTTTCCGAGACGTGGATGGCGTGCCTCGCGGTCTCGTGCAAATGGCGGTAGTCCGGTGTCGGTTTCGGCATCGACTCGCCCGATGAGTTCACCACATCCCTCTGCTTCTCCGTCGTTCTGACCGTGTCGCGTACCGCCCACACAGCGGCGTCTTGCATAGTGACGACCTTCTCTAGGAGTTGGATGTATATCCAGTACGGGTCGATGAAGTAGCTCGGGTCTGGTATGGTGAACAGGGGGTCGAGCTCACTCTCGGGCACTCGCGTCATGCAGCTCGCCGCGGGCGTTCGAAGATCGAAGATGATGAGAATAGTCTGCTGCCGTGATGGGAGCCAGCGTGTAAAGACGTTGAGCTTAAACCATTCGTACCCTGGGTGCTCGCTGTTGGTGAGCTTGACCGGGAAGCGCGCCCACGTATCTGTCTGTGTAAGTACAGGATCTTATCGTCGGACTGGACCTTGGGCGACGTACTCAATGCGGTCGTGTTGCCGTCGTCGTCTATGGTGGTCTGGTAGCCGAAATAACCGTTGGAGTCTCTGCAATATTTTTTCCACCAGAGGTCTGGGATGGCGAATGTTTCCGCAAAGTGTCGCTTGCAGACTGGACATTCACGGATCTTCTGGGCCTTGGCCTCACTGTGAGCACGTCAATACCAGTCTACGCTAGTGATGTCCCTGCGACCTACACAATGCACACGTTGAACTCGCGGGTTGGCAAGAGACGCCGGCTTTTGTCGCCGGCGGCCCTCGTGGTTATCTCCCATTCATTTCCATCGCCTGTGGTGGTTGTTAGCATAGCTGATGGCAGGCGTTGGTGTGAACACACCTTTCTTCCAGCAGCGGAAGACGAGATCGGTACATGCAGGGTTGGAACATGGATTTTGTTCCATGGCAGCAGATTTCAGTGAAGACGATGGCGACGAGCTCGGTCGGGGCCTCACTGTACTGAATGGTTCATGAAATAAACGAGAGTATTAAAAGACTCCATCTTGAAATTCGGATTGCAGCCGCATTTTGACCGACTCCGCCATCTAGGCAGCATGGGCTGGCTACATGGTCAGGCTGCGTGCAAGGAGGGCGATCAATCCAATCATGTCGTGGACCCAGCTGTAATGCAGCAAGGCGTACGGAGTATCCGAACCCCTCCCTCACTGCCACATTCCAGGTGGTGAACAGGCTGATAGTTGTGTGTATCCCGAGAGCCGACCATTACCCAAGTTGTCGTCCACAGTGGAAAAAATGAGGCGGGCGACAGTATCAAGACATTGTGATCTATCTCTCCACCAGAGAAAGGAAGGAAACTGTGTTTCCATGTAAAATAAATAAATAAATAAAAACCCCCGCCAATGTCTTTGTTAAGGCTCGTCCCGCGCACCTTCCTGACTAGCCCCTTTGTCTCCCGCAAGATTTCACCTGCCGTTAGGGACGTTTCCCCACCGGCTACCTAATACCTGGTACAGTTATCCATCCGTACACAGGCAGGAAGGTAGGTACCTAGGTATGCGCTACCCATATCCGTACAGCCATACCTATAGGTAAGCCCACCGAAAAAGGTAGTTCGGGGGTTATCTAAGCTAACTCCGTGGTTTTGGGCCAATCAGAAAGAGGATTACCATGCAGTTCCTGCGGCCGGCAGGCAGCTGGAACACGCGCCTTCCTATAGTTCTAGACAAAGCAAAGATTATATCCTCCGCTCGGACCTTACCTGAGTCGAAGATGGTAGATGGTGAACTCTGGCCGGACCCCCGTCTCTTTATCCTTTTCCAGTGCACCGGTCTCCGTCCGAACCCTGCGGGCTGCTACAGACTGTCTATTTGCAGGCCGATTTTGTTTGCCCTCGTATAGTGCCGAGCTTCTCTCATTACCTCCCTTTTCCATCTCCCCTCATTGCCCAATAGATCGTCAGTCATGGGTTGGCCCTACCGCTTCATAGACCTTTCAACTGAAGAGGTCCAGCTTCGCAGAGAAACACTAGACCGCTATGGCGCCTATGCTCATTACTCGGCCTTGGCACCAATCGTCCTGGCCTTGCTCGTCCGCCTTGGATCCTATCTCCGACGACGCTGGCAGCAGAGTGCCGCCTACGACGCCGTCCCCGACTCGCCTGTCTTGAAAGAGAGAAGACAGAGCTGGAGCGGCAACTTGGAGGCCAAAATCCGGAAGGGCAAGTGGTGGCTGGACGATGATGTCTACTTCATGGGTCAGCACTGGGGGCAGAAAGACCAGTGGGTCTTTGGTTTGGCTTGGGCCTCATGGCTACTTGTTCTGAGTGTATTGGAGACGGGTGATGGTAAGTCATGTTGGGAATCCCCTCGATGGAGTATCCGCACGGCCGCCATTCAGCACGACCGCCGTTCAATGAGTCGCCGAACTGGACTGGATGAGATCATTACGCACTCGGGATGCCCAAATGAACTACTTCTGACCGACCCCAGACTACCTCCATATCACCAAGCGTTTCGGCATCATCGTCGCCTCCCAGATTCCATTCCAGTATCTCCTGGCGTTGAAGAGCTTCAGCCCCATCGCCAAGGTTTTCGGCACATCCCACGAGGAGCTCAATAAGTGGCACCGCGTCCTCTCCCGCGTGACGCTCTCCCTTCTCGTGTTGCACGTCATGTTCTACCTGAACTTCTTCGTTGCAAAGGGCCTCGTTCAAAAGCGCCTCTTCGCGCCTATTGTATTCGCCGGCGTCGTCGCCTTTGCAACCATGAACATGATGACCTCAACCGCCGCCGCCGCAGTCCGTAGGTACTCCTACCGAATCTTCTTTGTGACCCATCTTGTAGGCGCCTTCGCCGTCCCGCCGCTCGTCTTCTTCCACGCCAAGTCAGCCCGCCTCTTCATGGCCAAGGCCCTCGTCGTCTTCCTCATCGACATTGTTGTCCGCCGTCTCCGCACCGTCACGGCACCCTCTAAGCTTGAGACCGTCCCCGGAACGAACTTGGTCAAAATTTCGGCCTCCATCCCCCAGGACAAGGTTAATGCTTTCTGCGCCCGTCCGGGTTCCCACATCTATCTCAGCGTCCCTCCCGCAGCGCGGTCCGGCGCCGGTCCAATGTCCTCAAAGGCCATGCTATTCGAGTTCCTCTTCAACCCCTTCACCGTGGCTGCCGTCGACGAAGAGGCCGGTAATCTCACCCTGGTAGCTCGCGAACTCGACGGGCCTTTGACAAAACATCTCGGCCGCTTCGCCAACGCGGGCACCGGCACCCACGACAACAAAGTTCCGCTATGCCTCGAGGGCCCCTACGGCGCCGCATCTCTTCATTTTGACAAGCTCATCAGCCATTCCGTCGACCGCGTCCTGCTCATAGCCGGCGGGGTAGGCGCAACATTCACCATCCCCATCTATCAGGCCATCCTCCAGGACAATCCCAACACCAAGGTCGACCTCGTCTGGTCTGTCCGCAGTGCGGGCGACGTGACCTGGGCCATGTCAGCCGGCAAGTCCACCAAGAGCGTCCTCGATGACCCTAACGTCCAAATTTACTACACTGGCGACGCCCTCGACTCGGACGCCACGGGCCCCATGGCCGGCCTCCCCGCCGAGACAAACCCTGAGGGCGAGATGGAGATGAGCGCCATTTCATCGCCCGGCCCCAGTAGGAACCGCCTTACGAGCCAGCAACACCGTAAGCGTCCGGACCTGCGTAAGATCATCGACGACGTCTTCAAGAAGGGCGCCGAGGAGAGAATCGCCGTGCTCGTGTGCGGGCCTTCCGCGATGGGGCGGGAGGTGCGCGAGTATGTCGGCGCGTGGGTCATGAGGGGCCGCGAGGTGGTGTGGCACAACGAGGGCTTTGGGTGGTAGAGCGGCTGCATGCGTGCGGATCTGGGACCCCCCTGTCAAATATGACTGAGGAAAATCCGGGGCTACTGTTCGCTTGGAGGATTTGTCTGCTCTTCTGGAAAAAATACTGACAGAGAAAGATGGGCCTTTTCGTGAATTGTCACATGTTGTGTCATGGTGTTACTTAGATGAACGGTTTCCCAAACTTGATCACGAGATAAAGTAGTAGAGACACTTTTTTTCTCTATCACAAAAAAATACGCTACTAGGATGAAGGGCCTCCCAAACGCCGAAATCGTAACTCAATGCTCATCCATCATGTCGCACATTCCATTTCCTCAACTGTGCAGCAGGGGCCCTAGTCGGCTCGCTTCTTCGAGTTGCCAATGTCACCCGTGTCGATATCCTTCCCTTTGACTCCGCCAATGTCACCGTCAGCATCGTCCTCATCCCAATCGTCCACCTGGTTCTCATCCCAGTTGTCCACTTCCTGCTCAAGCGACCTTCCGCCGGCATCAACCCCACCGGCACCGTCTCTCGCACCGCTTGACTCGATAACCCCCGTCTCGTGTCCCTCACCGAGTTCCACGTCCGCATCGTCTTCGCCAGGAACAGCCTGGTATGTCTTGGCTCGGCGCTTGCGCTCGAGCATGCGCTTGTGGTACCACGAGCAGAGTCCCAACCCGGCGAGCGAGCCGACAACGTTGGCGACAATATCGTAGAAGTCGAACTCGCGGCCGTTGGGCAGGAATCCTTGCAAGAACTCGGAGCCAACGCCGAGTACGAAGGTGCAGACAGTGAGAGTGAGGTTGAGGGTGCGGCGGCGGTTGGTGTCGAGGATCCAGTAAAAGACGATCGTGAGGAGGAAGAAGGTGCCGAAGTGGAGGACTTTGTCGTTTACATATTGACCGAGTTGGAGGGAGGTCAGGCCGGCGTAGCCTGCGATGAGGAGGAGGACGAAGAAGACACCTGTGAGGACGGGAGGTTAGCCAGGACTAGCGGTTTATACATCCCAAGAAGCTATTTGAAGAACTGGGGCCGAGGCTATGCCTTGAACCGGAACTGCGAGGATCGATGGATGATCCAGATCCAGGCCAGCTGACGCTGTTCACGCACCTGCAAAGGGCAAGCGTATCCGCATTTTGTAAGGGTCCTGCAGCTCTTGCAGAAGATGGGAGTATGATTGGTAGGGTCGGGTTGCTGTAGCGCTGGAGCTAGCTACTCTTGTGGTCTTGAAGAATTTGGATGCAGTGATCGGGGTCGGGCAGCTTGGCTATAAAGCTGGCATGATGGGACAGAGGCCAGATGCGTGTTTGCTCGAGATGGTGCCAGAAAAGGGCCGGGATTGTTGAGTAATGGGGTCGTCACAGACGAGGGTGTAGGCGAGGCGTTTATCTAGCTGGCCGAAGCTCCCAGACAACTGAACCTTTTTGTGCTTGCGAATGGAGTTCCTCAGCCCACTGACGAAAGAGATGCGCGGCGGTGGCGCCCGACCCCAGGGCCGACGAGGGAGGCAGGGGTGGCCCCCCGGGAATTTTGGGGGGGGGGGGGGGGGTTGCCTTAAGCTACCTAGACTGGTCAGGTTGGAGGTGGCCCTGGCGGAGGATCCCGTGGGCCACTGAGGGGGCCCGGAGGCGCGCGACATGCGATATCTGGGGGGAGACGCGATGCGCGCGCGGATGCGGCTATGAGCGTGTGGTCGCAATGAGAGGATCGGCAATGGGTGTATTGTCATGAGTTTGGGATCTCGTGTGGTTGTTGCATCGGTATTTGCTGAGGATTGTTGATAGAATCACGAACTCTTATCTCAATATGCATCACTATCTCAATATATGTACATAGTATGCACAGCGTAACAGGAATTCCTGGCATGAACATAGAGGTTCTGGCCGCAGTGTGCTGACCTCGGCTTGCCTGCGTGGCCCCCGTTGCGCACTGCGACTGGTTGGCTATACTCATCACGTGACAGAGCCACCCGCGATCCGATCGCTGGATTTCCCCCCAGGGGGGGATTACGGTGGCATGGCCGCTCGCGCGGTCATCGGCATTGGATGTTCCTGTACCTGCATCCCGCATCCGCGACACCCATCATCACCCCAATGCACCTGGTTTCTGGGTCTGAAAAATAGGTAGACCGGTGGATTGTTTCCTTGAAAGTCTTCTTTGTTGATTTTCGGTGCTTTAGAAGGCACGCGGAGTGCCTTGGGCGGCGCATCTCGTTGCCTCTCAAAGTCCCGTGTACCGCTCTCAGCGGCCTATTCGCCGTGTTCAGGCAAGGGAAAAGTTCCATCGCGTACACTGGTACGAGCCTCTCCCAATCCTCAACCTCACCTCTTGGAGCCACGCATAAAGTCCCCTTTTCCAATCCATCAATACACAACAACCACAACATCCTGCGCCTCCAAAGCCTGTTCGTCATCTCTATAGATGCCGCTCTTTCTACTGATGCGCCCGTAACGACCCTTTGCCGCCCGGACTCGGTCCCTGACGAGCGCATTTCCTTGCGCATGGCGACACGACGCCCGCTTGTCGCTATCATCAATCCGGGCACAAAATGTCCCTCCCCAATGGCCAACACGCATGGCAGCCGCCGTCTCTCCATCATCAGCCCTCCAGCCGCCTGTTCCATCAACTTGACGATGGTCCTGCGCGCAACGGAACCCCCGTCGACCACTCGATGGCGCTGATGCCTGAGGCACCACCTGATATTGAAGACGAGCGACGACGCGCCTTGTTCAAGGACCTCTATCACAAGAGCGAGGCAAAGATCGCGTTGCTATTCGCCGATGATGGATCATACAACTATTCCGCCATCGATGCGCTGCGCCGCCCCTCCGCCCCCTCCCCCTCAATCTTACCCCCTACCACCGACCATGCGCCGATTCAGGAGCCTCCATTAAAGAAGGCCAAGCGGGTCATCGACGAAGACGACTACGGCGATGACGACGATGAAGATGAAGAAGACGCGACATCCGCCGACCCGGGCAAGTCTGGGAGCGGTACCGCGGCCGCTGGCGCCGGCTCTCTCCTCTCCCCTTCCAAGTCCGGCAGTTCGCCCGTGCACTCCGTCAGCTCGCCCGGCAAACAGCTCGAGAAACTCAAGCAGGCCGATGGGTCCCAGGACCTGACCAAGACGAGCGAGGATGCGCGCAAACAGCTCGAGGAGGCGCGCAACGCGACCGAAGAAGCGGCGCGGCGGAGCTTCCATACCATTTTTTACACCCTCGAAAACGACCGGACAGCTATGCTCGAGCAGCAGCAGCTGGAAGAGTCGGAGAAGCAATTGCAGGCCGAAATGGAAAACAATAATAATAACGCCACGCACGGCACCCAACCCGAGAACCACGGATCGCTCAGCAGCGCCAACCTCGGCGCGTCGAGCCTCACCCTCAAGCACCTGATTGCGAGGATTGATATGAAGCGTGACCAGGTTCGCGCCTCGGATGCTGAACTGCGGTCGCTCATGAACGAAGTGCGAAAGAACCGGAGCAAATGGGCCAGCGAGGAGAATGTCAACCAGGAAGAGCTGTACGAGGCTCTCGAGAAAGTCTTGACGGAATTGAAGGCACATACGGAATACTCGACACCCTTCTTGCAAAGAGTCAACAAACGCGACGCGCCCGACTACTATAATCGTAAGTTGTCTCCAGGCAGACGAGTTGGGTCCCGATTGGCTAACAACCTTCGGCACAATGCAGTCATCAAGCAGCCTATGGATATGGGGTCCATGACAAAGAAACTCAAATCCCTCACCTACAAATCCAAGGCGGAATTTGTCACCGACCTAAACCTGATATGGGACAACTGCCTGCGATACAACCAAGACATGGGCCACCCTCTCCGAAGGATGGCCAATGGCATGCGTAAGGAGGCCGAGAAGCTCATCCCCCTCATCCCGGACCTCGTCATCCGCCCGCGAGCCGAGGTTGAGGCCGAAGAACGCCGTAAACAGAATGGTGGTGAAGAGGATGGCGGCGACGACTCGGATGACGAGCCAATTATGTCGTCTCGCGGCCGTACCGCTGGAACCAAGGGTGCCAAGTCTCGGAAACAACCCGCGGATCAGAAGGAGGGCACCCCGGGCGTCGACCAGAAGCCGGTCCTGCATCTCAACGGTATCTTGGCCAAGGGCCGAGAAGGCTCTGAGGCCGTTGACGGGAGCGGATTCGGCACCCCAATTGCGGGATCGGCTACTCCCGGCGGCCTCAACGGGCATTCTGGTATCGGGAGCAATGCAGACGCAATGGACATTGACGGGCCGACACTGAACGGCATGGCGTTGGGACAAGCTCTCAACGAGGCGGTAGAACAAGCCTATGAGGATGACGAGTACAAGATCTGGAAGCAAGTCACCAAGAAGGACCGAGCGCTGATCGCCAAGGAACGCCATCTGATGTTCAAGGACAACAAGCTCAACACTGATGCATCCGCCCTGCTCAGGAACAAGGCCGGGATTCGGTGGTACTTGAGAGGACAAAAGGAGGCCGAAAGCCTTGGCGTTATTGGCCATTCTCAAGCCGATTCCTCTGCTGTTGCGGCGAAGGAGGCTGCAAAACCAGCCGAGACCCTTGCGGAAGGCATGGAGGGAGAAGAGGAAAAGAACGTGCCTGCATATTACGAGCCTCTGACCATGATCCCGGATATTCAGCCGAAGCTCCAGTGGGTCGAGGACGGCGAGGGTCAAGTCATCAATCAGCACGAGGAATATCTCCAAATGATTCCCGAGGGCCACTTCACTGCGCCCAAGAGTAAGCTGACCAGCAAGATCGACAACAACATCCGGCAAATCCAGGAGACCAGGAAACTGTCGAGCAAGATCGGCGTGATCAAGCAGATGCAGATCCAGACTCAGGTATGCACGCCGTTGCCAAGGAGCAACAAAACCATCTAACCCAGCTTCTAGGTCTACAACAACCAGTTTCCTAAGTCCAACTACGAGGCTTTCATCGAGCAGGATGCCGAGCCCTCTTTCATCGCCGATACTGGGCCTGTCATTGCACCAGAGACTTGCCGTAGTGCTTTGCAACGCTCCGTTGCCAAGATCCTTTACCACACCGGCTTTGAGGAACTTCAGCCGTCAGCCATTGACACCCTGACCAGCATCGCGTCTGACTACTTTGAAAAGATCATTAAGACATTCAACATCTATCGCGAAGCCGAGAAGATCGAGGCTACTAACTCCCGCATTGAAGGAGCCGCCCGATTTCAGCCGCGATTCACTCCAGAAGAAGTCATCCTGCACACGCTAGACGAGAACGGCTGCGACTTGTTGAGTCTGGAATCCTACGCCAAGGACGAAACCGACCGACTCAGTTCGAAGCTCAGCGGCATCCATGAGCGTATGAAGCTCCACCTTACCGAGCTTCTTCGCCCTGCTCTCACCCAGGAGGCCGGACAAGATGGTGTCGGTGCCTTCAAGGACGGCAGCGAGCAATTCGTCAGCGGAGACTTCGCAGAGGATCTTGGAGAAGACTTTTTCGGCTTCAAGGCTCTCGGCCTGGACAAGGAGATGGGTCTTGATATGCTTTCAGTCCCTCTTCACTTGCTTCAGTCTCGTGTCCGCAGCCAATACCAGATGCAGACCCAGGCCGTTGGCGCCGAAGTTACCGACCTCTTCGACTCGCTGCCGCCGGTTGAGCCTCTCACGAAGGATAACATTCACGACCAAATTGGTCTGGTTAAGAATTTCTTTCTCGCCAAGCTCCACGCTAATGGTGATGCCCCCCTGGTTGAGGATGAAGAGCTTCCTGTCAAGCAACGGCGTCCCAGACCCCGCCTTGGGGCATCCGGAAAGATCGTCTCACCGCAGAAGCGGCCGCCCAAAGAACAGATCGCGCTCGCCAAAAAGAAAAAGAAGATGGAGTTGGCGGCGCAGGCAGGTGACAAGGGTCCCAATGCTTCTCCGGAGAAGAAGGGCGAGACCACACCGGCGAAGAAGGTAAAGCACGCCAACATCAATGGTGGGGGTAACCCGTCAGGGATTGTGTTGCCCCCCAGCATGGAGCGGCACGAGAGTATGCAGAGTCAGGGCAACGCTAGCCAGACCGACAAGGACGAGCCTATGGGGATGATGAGCCCAGAGAGCATCGAGAGATGAACGCAGAGTTCATGGCACCTGCATTCTTCCGTGCATACTCCTGGTGCACACCTGTCGTTCTGTGGCCTAGCTGGCGATACTGTCGCGTGAGGAATGGGCCTTGCTGCAACGATCGGGAGCTGCCGCCCTTCCGCTACCCTCAAGGATGCCCCACACAAACCTCTACTGCAGGTTTCATTACTTTGCAGTTATTTACACTGCTTTCATTACCTTGTATTCACATAACCCCAAACGTTACATGTTATCATACACCACTTTGATATACGTTTTCTACCCTTTTTCATTTTCGCACACCCCCCGGCGTTGAGGTTGGATCATCATTTGGTCTCAGGCAAGGGAAAGACGGCATGTCGTGCAGATCGAATCAGACATTCCGGCATGACCTTTACTAAGGATATTGGGATACCCAAAAGCCATTGACTGGCGGTTAGTCAGGGCGGGAAGGTCAGGCCTCCCTGAGAAAACGGGGAGCGTCTTATTTTTGTCATTTCGATGTTGGAAGGATGGGAGCGAGCTTGTGTGACCCCATGGGCGTTACTGCGGGCTCGGTGTCTGGCCGTCTGCCTATTCCATTGTCTTATCCGAGATTCAGTCCTTCGGTAGCACTGCAGAGCAGAAAATCTCCGTCCTGGACTGAGGCGGAAAGGGTAAACTTTTGTTCTTTATTTGATCAATGCTGCTTCTGTTTTTCGACCGTTTCATTTTCAAATTTTTTTTTTTTTTTTGTAATGCAACAATACAAGCCGCCCTTAGTATGAATAGGCGAAGAACTTTCAAGAAGTTAGGGGAAAGGGGGTTATCCTCGTTCGTTTTGCTGTTATTATCGCGGTACGGAACCAAGAAAGAGCTACGGGACCTCGGCTAGGGTATGGGTGGAATTGTATTCCCTCTCTACTGCACCTTTCACGGCGGCATGGTTATTTCGCTAGCTACACTCCATCGCATACGTCAAGGGTTCAGGTAGGAAGGGTGTGGTATGTTTCCCCCCCCCCCCTTTATGTTCATTGATGATGCGATGCGCTTGGAGATCGATATTGATAGACGGTGTGTTGGGCGTCTGACTACTTTGGCGTATGTGTGTTTGTATGCCTTTCCAAGGCAGAGTCAATTCAAGATGATAAATTCGAACGCGCTTTGGCGGTCCTCGTGATGTTTTGGGGAGCAGATGTGACGAGGACTGTGACCATGTGTAAAGGTGAGGAAAGGGAGTGGGGGCTAATGTCTAGGCACATTGAAGGCCAAAGGTCCCACGGAGAGTCTTGCTTGCCCGCAAGGATTGGGGTCTCTGTAGCTGGGCCAGTGTAAGTTTGTATGTTGAAACCATCTCTAGTCTTGATAGAGCACAGAAGCTGACTGGTACCGTGTATGTGAACCAGACGCCTTACCGTACTGCCGGCACGAACATGAGGCATAATGTCTCGTGTGATTTGCTAGTTTGCTTTCTTCCGCGTTTGGCAGTCGATGAGGTGACTCTTGGGCTGCTAAGCTGGGTCTTGACATCTACGTCTGAGGCGAATGATATCTGTCGGACGATGTCACTTCTACCACCGCTCGTCGGAGCTGGTACTTACTGCGGCGCAATGTAGAGTCGCATAGATATCAGCTCACTTATCTGGTATAAGAGGCTGCTTCGTGAAAGCCGACACCTCCATCTGCTTGGTTTCCATCCCTCGTCCTATAAATGGTAGAAAGAGGCCTCTTCGATTCGGCCAGCTTGAGAGTGTTGTTGAAAACTGGGTGGAGGACTCTAAGAGTTCAGTAGAGGTCAGGCCAGATTTTTATTCGTGTCTATCTTCCGGGCCAAGGTGAAAATAGGCTATTGGAATCATCATCAAGAGGACCTCCGGAATGTGATGTACTAAGTACTTTTACCATTCCTAGAAGAGCTGAGCGAATATACAGTATATGTCGTCTGATAGCTGTATACCGATGCGGGGTCCATGCGCGCAAAAAAAGCGGGAGAGCTCGGATTCTGCTATATCCAGATCGAGTGAAGTGGGGGGAAATGTCGACCATTCGCTCTCACGCAGGTCCGTAGCGGATACTAAAAGTCGCAATGACTTTGACATCGACCACAAATCAAACGAGTGCAGTACATAGCTCGTCAGAAGAAGACACGCTAAGCTTGGAAGCCAATATCTTGACCCGGATAACGTGAAGTGAAAAAGTTGATGAAACAGGTCGATGTGTTTTGTGGGTAAAGTAACGTAGCTTGTATCGCAGTTGGATAGAACCAAAGCATGAAGGACTAGCGAGTTGAATCGGGGTACGATGAGAGAAAGTTGGTTGTGTATATTATGAATCCGAAATCTATGGCTAAGAGCCTGTAGGGGCTGCTTGGAGTGTCGGGTCGGAGGACGGAAGCTAGACCCACAAAGGAAGCTCCGATGGCCGGTCGGGCTTGGGTCGGGATCGGCCCTCACATACGGCGGTAGGGCGTGCGGTCCAGATGCCAACGATAGCCGCTCCTTGTGTGGAGTGAAACAGGAACCTGACAGGTATGTGGTGATACCCGACTGACAATCCAAATCGACTGATAATCTGCCGGAAATCATCAATCGTTGCTGTTTTCTAGACCTAAGGGCGTGATACAATATCAAGTCGCCGACGTAAGGCTGGGCTTCGCGGTGCGGGCTATTTGAGTGAGACAGGGTCTCGTTTGAAAGGGGGTGGACACGTGTTCATGTCAGACGCCGATAAGTGAGTGCACTGCGACGGAATAACGGATTTCGAGAGGTGAAACGGACAATCGACAGACGTGGAGAGAGTTTGCAAATCTAACTTTGGGGTTTCGAGTCAAGGCCGTCGTCGGCGGGATCCGGCGCGCCGGAGTCGACAGCGATTGATAAAAGGCCTAGTAGAGGCAACATGCAATAGCCAATGCATTGCATCAAGGATACGGATAACCTGCCCCCTCAATTGGAGAAAGAAGGCGGTATCGCGCTTGCAGTGCCGCCTGTGGAGTGGAGCCTATGAGCCTCCTGGGCGCGCCACAAAAAGCTCAGCTCAACAGACGAGCGGTCATGGCCCGTGCACGGGAGCTGAGGCGGTGCAATTTCTAGGCTGCGAGAAATTCCATTAATGGACCGGAAGGGATCAGCAAACCAACAGGCCATTGGGGAGATAGCAGCAAAGGGCACATCGACAGAAGAGCGCTATATCTCCCTTACGACAAACCTGCTCTTCCATCCACCACATTGCCCACCTCCATCAGCAGAAATTGGTCTGGCATTCCTCCGTCTTCAGCCACCAGAGAGGTACTTATCCTGGCTCTGACACATAAACAACCAACGAGTACGCAGCTCAGCCCAATTTAGCCAGCGCAGCAGCAGCAGCTCCCTAGGGAGAGTGAGTGAAAGAGAAACAGCGACAGAGACAGAAGAAGCCCTTCGACATCGCGACCGATAACCCGCTGCCCTACAACGTAAACGCGATCTTTGCAACAATTATTGCCTTGCACCGCACCATCGCCTTTTCATCCCGTGACCGCTCGCGCAATCTGTCACCAGTGCCGAACGTCTATCTGATCCGCGACCACCGCTTGACCCCCCCGAGCTTTTCCCAAGTCTCTGGACCATCCCCGAGCCAGCAGCCCTACCTTCCTTTGTCCATTGACGACATCTCCACGACACCTCCCCAACACCTGAAACAATGTCAGCACCGGCAGGAGGCCTTACTAGACGCCGAGGTGGAGGCGCCACGGCCGGCGATGGCGAGACCAGCAACGGCGCCAGCCGGACCAACTCCACGAGCAACTTCAACAAGGACAGCGCCCCCGAGACGAGCTACGAGAGCGGCGAGAATGGCCACAAGATTGCCTTTGACCCCCGCGACATCAGCGAGAGCGCAGAGCGCAGCAAACAACCCAAGCTGACCTTGATGGAGGAAGTTCTGCTGCTCGGTCTCAAGGACAAGCAGGTACGCCCACGACATCCAGCCCTACACGATTGCCACAATTGAAGCCAGGTCGCTAATTGACTTTGTTGCCCTGTGCAGGGTTACCTATCTTTCTGGAACGACAACATCTCATACGCCCTCCGTGGATGCATCGTCATCGAACTCGCTTTCCGTGGCCGCATCAGCATGCAGAAGGATGCCTCGAGAAGGCGTTTCCCCCTCGCAGACCGCGTCATCGAAGTCATTGACGAGACCCTGACGGGCGAGGTGCTCCTTGACGAGGCATTGAAGATGATGAAGCAGAGCGAGAAGATGAGCGTCAGCTCTTGGATCGACTTGATGAGCGGTAAACCCTCCTTCCTCTTTTTTCCTCCCTTGGATCGCCCGCCACGCTGTCCATTTTGCGCTTCCAGAGCATCCGCTGACAACCGTACCCCCAACGACAGGAGAGACCTGGAACTTGATGAAGATCGGATACCAATTAAAACAGGTCCGCGAGCGCCTGGCCAAGGGCCTCGTCGACAAGGGCATCCTTCGCACGGAGAAGCGCAACTTCCTACTTTTCGACATGGCTACCCACCCTGTCGCCGACGGGGGAGCCAAGGAGGAGATCCGTCGCCGCGTCCGTAACGTTCTGACCCAGCGTACTGTCGTTCTCCCCCCTTCCCAGTTCCTGCCCGAAAACCTCGAGTTCCGCTACGTGCGCACCATCGCCATGGTTTGCGCCGCCTATGCTGCCAACGTGCTTGAGAATGCCCTCAGCACCCTGGGCCACGAGGCCCGCGAACGTGCCTTTGCCCAGACGGATGAGCTCCTCGCCGACTACAGCCAGTGGCCCTTCGGAAAGAAGGCCACCGGCAACGGTATCGGCGCTAATCTTCCCCAAGCAATCGCAGAGGTATGTAGATCCCGTGTCCTGCGCCAGCCAATGTCCCATCTGACAACCCCCACAGGAAATCAGCAACGGGAAGGACAAGGAGCTGCAACTCGAAGTTGTCGCCGCCTGTCTGAGTGTCTTCACCCGCCTAGACTCACTCTTGTAAACACGCCGACCTTTGATTCCGATTACACACCTCTTTGGCCTTCGATGGAGGGTCTTGCTGCGGCGGCCTGAGCGATTTCTGGCAACTCATCCCCTCTTTTCCCCATCCTCTTCAACAACCTAGACGACACTCATCAAAACGCCCAGCATTGAGCTCTCCCAACCTATACCGTGGTCGAACCCTCACGAGAAATGACCAACAGAGAAAAGGGGGGGGGAGGGGGGGATATTATCTTTCTTCTGTTCTCCGGATACCAAAACAATTTGCAACATGTAATTGGGAGGGAAACGGTGGCAGGATCTTTAGGTTAAACCGGAGGGTGAAGCATTATGAAAGGGCACCACATTCCTCCTTTGCCTCGCGGAGACAAGGGGATCTCCGAAAGGAAGAGGGAATGGACGGACGCATGATGGGACGGCGAAAATATATACACGCGCGTGTAGTTGGTTGGGGGTTTCAGCTACGTTTATTTGTTTCCCACCGTAAGCGATCGTTTTAATGCAACACTTACAACAAACACATGGCCATCCACCCCTGTCCCTTAAGCTGTGTCTGGTCGTCGTAGAGGCGCCAGCTGTGTCGTGATAAATACACGACATATCTGCTTGCTCCCCGCCAGCATCAGGGGGAGGGGGCGCTTTAATAGCCAGCCCACTACGGAGACCTGATGACCGCGGAGAGCTAGAGAACGGACGACCAGGCGGGGCGAGTTCATGCCATGGCTAGAACGATTGAAATATGTATTCATGGGTTCCCCCCTCCTACGCCGTCGTCCCCCGTCCTCCCATCCCGTTTTGGTTGTGCGAGAAGAGAAGAAAGGAACATGTGAAAAAAAAAAAAAGTACAGTGGTTTGCCACCTTTTCCCATAAACGCCGGTTTTCCCATCCGTAGCAGATGACATTGATGATGGTTATGATGCAACAGCCGCCATCGGTTTTTTTTCCTTCCTAAAAAGACCCCCTTTTCTCCTCCTCCTCCTGCTGCTGCTGCTTACTGCAGCCCCCACGGGGAATCTCGATTAAGCCTTCGTATCTCGCGTCCACCCAAACTCTTCTGGTCCTCGCAAATAAGAAAGAGTGCTTCGTTCAAGGCCGGACGGAGGCAGTGTATGTACGTGGCCAAGGCTTATTTCTTCTTCTTGCCGCCGCCGAAGCTCCCCTCGAACCCAGGACGCGCCTTCTTGGCGCCGCCGCCGACCTTCTTGCCGCTCTTGCGGCCGAGCTTGTGCGCGAGCTTGTCGTCCTTGCGCTTCTTGATGTTCTCCTCGCGCTTCTTCTGCCTGTCGCGGATGGACTTGGTGACGCCCTCGCTGCGCTCCTTCCACGCCTTCTCGCTCTTCTTCTTGGCCTGGTCCTTGCGCTTGACAGCCTTCTTGAGCGCGTGCTCGTCGTCGCGGATGCGCTCGCCCTCGGCCCGCTTCCGCGCCGTCAGCCACTGCTCCTTCTCGGCGATTTCAGCCTGCTTCTCCTTGTCGAGCGCCGCGAGCCGCTTCTTCTGGTTCTGGATCTTGAGGAGCGCCGTCTTGGGGTCCGACGGCCCGCGTTTCTTGTGCGTGTTGAGGGCGTACGTCAGGTCGTGCGAGAGCTTGGTGCCGTCGTCGAAGGCGACGCGGCCGAAGGCGAAGTTGGCTGGCTCGTCGTCGTTGTCGCCGAGGCCGACGCGCGGGGACATTACGCTGGGCGAGTTGGACGCCAGAGCCTCCTCACGCTTGGCTTCTTCCTCGAGCCGCGCCTTGGCGCGGAGTTCCTTCTTGTGCTCCTTGCGCTGCGCCTGCTTGGCGCGGCGCGCCTCGATGAGTTCCTGGCGCGTGCGGATGGGCTTGCCGTCGGGGCCGTCGGCCTTGCGAGCCGCGCGGAGGGCTTCTATCCGCGCCGCGAGCCGGGCACGGAGGGCAGAGGTGTCGGCGGGGAGCTTAATGTGCTTCGGCTTCTCGGAGGGCGGGACGGTGGAGCTCGTTGAGGTGGTCGCGCTCACGGCCTCGGCCGAGGTGGGGTTCGCACCGGTGGCGGCGTCAAAGGTGGAGTTGGGTGTTGAGGTCGGGCTCGAGGCGCCACTGGACTCGGCAGCCTTGAGACCGGAGAGGTCGAGAGGGTCGAGGTCCGCCGGCGCGGCGTGACCCTCGCCATCGGACCCCTCGTCGACGGTCTCATACTCCTCATCTTCGCTGTCGTCTTCGTCCCTATCGTGGTCGTTGCTAACGGGCTCTGCGTCCTTCGACTCGACCTTCTTCTGGTGCTTCTTGGGCTCTTTCTTGGCGGCGGCGGGCGACTTTGCGGTCTTGGTCTCCGCCGGCTTGTTGGAGGTCTTGGCCTCGGGCGCTTTGACGGTGGCGGTGTCGTCTGCGGCATCGTCGCCGGCCTCCACCTTGGCGGCCTTCTTCTCGGCCTTCTTTGCCTTCTTGTCCGCGCGCTTCTCCTTCTTGGCCTCCTTCTTCGCCATTCTCATCAGCTGGTTTTGCGACATCTCGGCTGGGTTGACGTCTTCGACCGTGTCGAGAGGATCGGCAGTCTTCTGCTTCTTGTAGTCCTTGTTGCGGAGGCCTTGACCAGGCAGCTCCCTCTGCACACCGGGGAATTCTTCGTCATCGCCGGCGGCCTCTTCCTTGTCCTCCTCCTCTTGCATCTGCTGCAGCTTGCGCTTGTTGCGTGCCGCGCGCTCGTCCATGACCTCCTTTGCGTTGCGGTTCAGCTCGCTGTCGGGGTCCAGCTTAGAGATCTTGGCCGCCTTCGCCTCGGCTTTTGTCTGCTTCTTCTTCTTCCATTGGTCCTGAGAGAAAGATATCCGCGTAAGCAAATGTGCTCCCTCTAAGAGTAGATGCTCAAGAAGCCGGAGTAAGGAACAGGCCTTTAAGAAAAGGCACGATCATCGCGGCGGGCTGGGGAAGGCCGCTTGTCGCTACGCGATCGCTTGCATGGCATGGAGGGATTGAGGCTCGGGCAGGGCAAACATACAGAGTTGTCTTCTCCATAGTACATCTTGGCCGGAATGAGGGACAAAAGACCATCAAAGGCCTTCGAGTGCTCGCGCAGGCGGTCCTATAAGGTTGTCAATGCCGCCCTACCTTGTTGTGGACATCACAGGATCATCACCACCGCCAACTGCTTTTTTTTCTTCTTTCTTTCTTGTAAGCGGCGGGGCACGGATATAACGAACCTGTAATGTAGATTCCGCCATTTCTTCCCCTTGTGTTTCCTTTGTTGCAAAAAAGAATAGTTGCTTTGCTCTGGGGAGGAAAGTCCGGGTTCGGGTTGCAAACCGCCTTAAGGGTTTGTTGGGGTGTTGCCGCGAGGGAAAAAAAAAGGTCGACGGCTGGGCGGGTTCATGCAAACTCGGTGAACAACAGAGTGAGCTTGGATATCAGCGGCGATTTGCGAGCGGGTTTGCTGCGAATTTTCGATTCGAAATTTTTTGGACTGTGGAGAAATCGCTTATGCGAAATCTTGGCAACTTTCTGCCGCCCAAATCCCACCCATTATACGGGGCGGTGTGACTTTTAGCCACCCCGCAATGACATGGCGCCTCGATACAAGCATGCATTTTTTCCCGCTCAGCTCCAAAGGGTCCAGAGTCCAGACCCACGTTGCCATCATCAACCACTGGCCAGGGTTGGTCCGACATGGGATATACGATCACATTATCAGGAACAATTAGATGGTGGTGCACTTGGCAATCACAGGTACATTCTGTTGATAATGCTTTGTTTTGGGAGCAAGCCTCTCTAAGAAAATCATTCTAAAAAATACAATTCAACTCCAAGTCAGCAACAATTTGCATAATCTATTGCGCAGCCGCAAAACTCCTGTCAGTGGTCTCCCTGTGGACTCATCCGACCATTGTCCCGTTTCGTCCAACAATCAGTCCGCCGAATCCGAACGCCGTTCTGCTGGTGTCCCATGCCGCTCCTTTCCGCCCACGAAGCAGTACCGCCAAGCCAACTAGCCATGTTAAACCAGCCAGTAAAGTCAATCACCAAGAAAACGGGTATCGACACATTAACGCCTGCTCCAAACTTCTTCTTGTTCGGAGACCGTGGTTTCTCGCCAGAGTCTTCTCTATGATCGCTGTAATAGCAACTTCCAGAGACGCTCCTCTATTTGTCGATTCTTGTTCGTTGCATGTCTTGCTCAATAGCAAACAACGCCTTTTAGAATCGTTCTCCTCTTGACGCTACAAGGCTGAATCTCACATCTTCCACTTCTAGCCATGGGACGTGGAAGTAGCCTACGCTCCAGCCATTCCTGCCGCAAAGGAAGGTGTCTGGGGCTGAAGCGAATAGCCGTTTGTAGACTTGGCGCTCAGCTCTGCCTGTCGTTGGCGTTCGGCTTTCTCGCGCTCGAGCTGCTCCTTCTCCGACTTGGTGATCCGCGGTTTGCGAGTAAGCGAACCGCCTCGGGATCCACGGCCACCTCTGGAGCCCGGGCCACCACCTCGGCCGGTGCCGCCTTCGCTGCGAGTAGTGCCACCACGGCCGCCGATGCGGCCGCCTCTGCTGCCACGACCACGCTTGGGTAATCCGTCGGGTCTTGTAAACATTAGCCAGCCATTCCAGTGAACAACACGATGCAACTGCAACATACCTAGTGTCTGCGGGCTTCTCCACCTCCGGCACCAGCGGTCCAGAGTACACGAAGAAGCCATCTCTGCTGGCGGCAGCCTGCTGCTCCCACAGGAGCTCGGAATCATCGACAAAATCATCGTCCTTGTCGTACTCGTCTTCCTTGAAATTGCGCTTCTTCTTCTTGGGCTTCTCAGGAACGTCCGCACCGCTAGTCATGCCGCCCATCTCCACATTACTGGCCTCCTTGTCTGAGTCCTCGGACATCTCGTCGCCCGATTCTTGGCCCGACGCCGTCTTCTCCAAGGCGGCAGAGGCGGCAGCGATACGCGCCTTGCGGTCCCGCTTTTCAGCCAGACGTGGATGCAGAGCATCCCAACCGTACTTCTCCTCGGCCATGCGCATCACGTTCACGTATATGTTGGTGTCGCCCGGTTTGATAGGGATGTCGAGGACGATGTCCGGCGCCTTATATTCCTTTCCGTTTTCGGCTCTGCCAAAATCGAGAATGGATCGGTCTGAAAGGGGATCACCACGAGGATCGTCCAGTGCACTAATCTTTGGCGACGAGATCCCGGACCTCTGAGGCTTCTGCTTGGGCGATGGCTTCTTGCTTGCGATGGAGCCAGCAGTAGAGGCCGCATCTTTGGACTTCGCATCCGCCTTGGAGGCGGGCACCGGCGGGGGAGCGAGTGACTTCTTCGGCTCGGGAGCAGTTGGCTTCGAGATAGGCTGGGGTACTGATCTAAGGGGGTATGAGGGTGATTCAGAGACAGTTGCTTTCTCCTGTACCCGGGACTGGGTTGAGGCGCCGAAAGCCTGGGTTGACGGCGACGTGACGCTCTGTGCGGGTGGGTCGACAAGACTAGCAATTGAAGGCGACGCGCTGGGTCGGTTGACGGTTTGAGTTGCGGGTCTCGGCGATGACGCGTTGCCAAAGATTCCTCTTACGGGGTCGTAGCTACCACGGATAGGGTCGTAATGCCCGCTAGTACGCGTCGGCAGAGTTGCGCTTTGTGGCTTCGACTCGGGCTCTGGCTCGGCATTAAGAATGCTTTGCATCGAACGCGGTAGTTCTTCTCGTTTGGGCGCCTTCTGCGCTGTGTGTTCTGGCTGGGCAGAGCCAGGTCGGGAGTCGGAGCTAGCACGGACTATATCTGTAATCTTGGTCTGTCGAGAAGGAGGCGGCGTAGAAGAAGAGGCAGCTGCAGCGGCGAGAGACTTTGAGTCCGAGCCTGCATCGGCATCCTGGGCCGGTGCCGATTTCCTCTTCCTCTGAATGGGCGGCGCATTTGGGTCTCGAGGCTTTCGCGGCCGACGCACCTTTGGCGGCTCATCTGGGTTTCTGGGCTTGACGGTAGAACCAGGCTTGCGACCGGGCTTCTTACGCGGCAAGCCAGCAGCGGTCAGGCGAACTTCCGGTTGCGGCTGCTCGTTTCCTGTCAGGACGCCGAAACGGGGTTGGGAAGGGTCGACGACAATCTCGTCCATGTCCATATTGTTATTCGGCCGACTAGTTAAAGGCGAGCCAGGTTCTGAGACGGAGCCGGAAGGTGGTGGTGATAGTTCTGGCGAGGAGCTGTCGCGCATAGCTGGCTGTCCTCCACCACCAATAAACACCGCGCCGAAAGAAGTCTCGGGAAACTGGAGTGACAGGGAAGGTTGTACCAGGAATATGACTGGGATAAATAGAAAGAGAGAGAAAAAGAAAAAGAAAAAAGACTCAGGTGCAACCCGGACAAGCTAAATCCTAATGCAGGCCGCAGCAGGTGCAGTGCATTGGAGGGTGGTTTAACTCTGGGTGTCCAACAGCTTGCTTCGGTAGGCTGTCCTGAATGACCTCACTTTTTGCTCCGACAGGGGGGTGGGTTCGCGTTGTGGTGCGTTTGGGTTTTGTAGCGTTGGATTGGCCGGATTATGGGATAGGTTGGGGGAACAGGGCGGGATTATGTAAGGTGGACTGGGTTGGCTAAGGCAGGAGGAGGCTGCACCAATTGAGCAGTGGTCAGCTGCGGTGTAGCCGTGCGGAGTCGTAGGTGGGAACTCGTGAATAACCTCAAGGGAGTTTCGGAAGTCGTTTTTTTGACGACAGCTGGCACCTTTGACCGATAAAAAAAGGTCAACAGGCGGGAGAAAGCGACGATTAAAGACGTTCAAAGAGTGCAGGTGAATGAGCTGAACAAAATGATGGTCTTTTCAGAACGTCGACGATGGGAGGCGATGCCTGATTTGATGAATTGACAATATCTGCAGTAGGATTTGCAGTGTCGTGGTAGTTGTGAAAAGGAAAAAGGAGGAGGGAAATGGAGGATCGGAAGAGGAGATGGGGATGGCTACGTTTTGGGGAGGGAACAGCAATTATTTTTTGGGCCGACATTTGGCTGCTGCGCAAGACGAGAAAAACGGGGCACCGAGCAGACGCGGATGGCCTCAGCAGGCGTGAATGGCAAGGGAAATTTTATTATTAAAGCCGAATTAGAGATTCGGACTAGGCTGGGGTCACGTCGATGGGATCAGATGGCCTCAGGACTTGGACCACGAGGAACGTGGACGGGGGGTGGGTGAAGGGAAAGGCAACGCAAGGAAACAATGGGGGTGAATAGGAATGGGGGATGGGGTGGGCGGTCAAGTCCCGACAGGCCAAGATCGGAAAGGAAAGAGCGAACTGGGAAGGAATGGGAATGGGAACAGTATAGCAGGAGGAAAGCGAACGTAAAAGGGATGGGGAGGGGGAAGGGCAAGGGGAATGGGAATGGCAACACCATGGAAAGGGTGGACGACCAGACGGAAAGCGCCAGGTGCAGACCTCAACTAAAGCGGAGGAGGGGGAGGGGCCAGCGGCGGCAGGAGCAGAAGGCAATGGCAGTGGAGGCAGGAAGGGGGGAAACACCAAGACGAAGAAGTGAAGGAACCTCGTGAATGGGGCGCCCAGGGAGACAGACGAGAGAGAGAGAGAGAGAGAGAGGAAGACGGAAGCAAATGGCGGGCGAGGGTTCATTACGAGGAATCAAGGCTGGAGCGGCATAGCGAAATGTGTAAAACCTCCAACGTGGGCCAGACCCAAAAGAAAAGACGACAAGATGGACGACGGGATGACGGGATAGGGTAGTATGGCAACGAACCCGACCTCACTTTCAGCCGAGAGAACATTAGTAGGTAGGAATGGGGACACGCCCCCCCCTTCCAGCACCAGCACCAGCAGCAGCAGCAATAACAAAAACAGACTGAGGCGGCTTTTGCTGCCTTCTCCGCTTCTCTCTCCTCTCCTCATGACCTACCTCTCTTGGTTGGGGCTGACAGTCGTGATGGCCGACAGCAAAACGACAAGGTCATCATGTGTCAACATTTAACCACCACACGGACCAGGCCATCCGGGCGAGACAGGATGGATGCGGTAATGTCAATTAGAAAGTGGGGCAAGCGGCGCTACAGGACGCGAGGGGGCGTGGCAGACGGTCGACGGTACCTAGTGCAGCCCAGAGGTGTGTGCAGCCGCACCAGGAGGGGGAGGGGAGCAGGAGCCGAGCCGTGGGGAAAGGAAGGAAAAGAAGGGGTCGTCGAATTAATTATCCAGCGACAAGCAACAGGAAAGGGGAACAGTGTGCAGGTAGCCGGGTGGTGGTACAGGCTCATCGGTCGGAGCTAAGGTCACCCACCTTAGCAGGGAAAAAGAGAAACATGGGTCCGGGCGCAGGTACCGGGTACAACAAAGAGGTGCCAACCTGACTTTCCCGCCAATGACGATGCGATACGACGTTTATGGTGGATGCTTTATGCCTGCGCGTCTGACGTTGAACCACGACCGGCTTCCATATTCGCTCTAGTGTCCCAGATAACCGCGTCTGCTGCAAGGATCTTGTGCAAACCCATCGTAGAGGAACAAGAGGTACTTGGGAAGAAGAGCCAGGGATGAGGCCTGGAAACGGGGGATCGCAGTTGACGGCCGGAGCACATGCAGCCGCTTCAGATCTCCCTTTCTCTCTCTCTCTCTCTCTGCCTCCCACCCCGCCGCCGGGGTGAGAGAGGACCGATGGCACAACGCATGTTTTCATCCCCTTCCTGCATGGTTTTGCGTTGAAGATTGCCAAAAATAAAGAAACTTTAGATTTCGACAATGAGTCTCTCTTGTGTATGAAATGACAACACTCCGTCAATTGATGCGCGACAAGCTCCTCTTGCCTTTTGCCCCTTTACTGACTCTGCAGGTGAAGGTGCCAGTGCTTCTTCCTCCATTGAGTACAGACGGACGGAAGTCTTTGCGGGTAGTAGTTTACGCAGATGCTACTAGTGGCCCGGTGCGGAAAGACATGTTGCAGAATCTGCGACACGCCACATATGCAAAAGAGCGTGCATAATCCTTTCTTTTATCCGTACCAACATTCCTTTCCATCGGCGAGACACAAACGACAATTAGATGATGGGTAAGAGGGCACACCCTCGTCCGTGGATGTCTTCAGCCTAGGTCTCTATCACGATTAGTTAGGTCTATTTTTTATTTTTTATTTTGCCTGGGAGACCCAATCTACTACAAACTCGGGAGGAAATCAGGACTGTTGAAAAGCTAGATGCAGCTCCGGCTTTTGCGCAGCTCATGCATCGTTGGCACTTCCAAATCACAAACAAAATACAGCCTGTTTCATCTGTTTGACCATTAGATACAGTGTCAGTTTAAGGCGGAAACACAGGGCGACCCCATCTAGGTATCCGTAGACCTTTCTGGAATTAGGCGAGAACGATCGGCGCTAATGCGGAAAGATGATGTGGCGCAGTTCTCGCTCATCAGCCACAACTCTAAAAACGGCGCATTTTCGGGATTTAGGGTGAGAGAAGGAGACCAACGCACCCGGAGCCTCTTCTACTAGCGCAGCCCCTCCGGCCCAGGCGTTTGTGGCTCATCCACGCCTCCTATTTTGCAAAGGGGAATACACTCGCTTAGGTGGACTTAATAAAATGCGTTGGAGTCCCACACGATCGTCGAACCCTGAGATTCCGACCTGCCGCAGTTTCAACCCTCAACGCGAGTAATCCTATTGGCGAGATAACCCCGGTTCCCCCGATGTGCTCCCATCTGAAAATAAGAGCTTGTGTCGGGGTGCCGCACGGGCAATTCCGAAAAAAGGACAAGGAAGTTTCAGGCAGGGGGGAGACTCTAACCAGCTCAGCCTAGGGGTGTAGGTGAGATAAGACAGCCAAAAGGAGAAGAAATGATAAGATAAGCGGGGGGAGGGTACGTCACTCTTAGCCCGTCGCCCTTACACCACCAGAAAAAAGAAGGAAAAAGGGAAAAAAGGGAATCCTCACTACAATCAGATTGGTGATCACTTCAAAACGTTAACTTCGCTCATACCAACTGCAGCCACCACATAGTCAGCAGCAGCAGCAGTCATAATAATGAATCCTTTAATGCTGGTCGGCGACATTGTCGAAAAAGAAACGCCCCCCTCGAAACCTCCAGTCGCTTTTGAGGACATCGACGCCTCCCCTACCGGCTTCCCCGCACACAAGAAACGCACTCGCGTGTCTGCCTTTAAGCAACAGCGACAAGGCAAGCCCGTCACAGGCGCCGAGACCGCCAGGGCGACGAGCTCCCTCTCTACACAGGCAGAGGACAATGGCGGAAGCGACTCACAACAATCATTCGAGGCCGCCGAACGCCGCCGGATCGATCGCGAGAACCGGCAGAAGTTGGAGGACATGAGCCCGGAGGACATTGCGAGGGAGAGGAAGGAGCTGATGGACTCGCTCGATCCGTCGCTCATTCAACGCCTTCTTGGCAGGGCCAATATTGACGAGCAACATGGTCCGAATCCCTTCGATCCGCCCGCTACGGAAAATGTCACAGCCAAAGAGCCGATGACTCCGGCATCAGAGATCAAAATCGAAGACACGTCCGCGCCACCGAAAGCTCAATCCCGACCTCAAACAAATTCAAATTCTGCTCCGAAATCCGTCTCTTTCGCTAAAGTAGAAGACTCGGGGCCATCACCGCCGCCCACAGTGGACGAAGACAAACCCCCATCCGCGCCTCCGGAAGGCCTCTTCCCGCTCAACTCCCAGCCCGACAAGACGCACTTCCCTCAGCCACCCGCCCTCCCCGATCTCGATCCCTCCCACCCGGACTTCCTCGCAACTCTCCACGAGAAGTTCTTCCCGAACCTGCCCGCCGACCCGAGTAAGCTAGCCTGGATGGCGCCCATCCCCACCGCACACAGCCCAGCCGATCGCGAATCCCCATACTACCCGGGCCAGCCCTCGCTGCCCATCTCGGCGCTGCGGTTCGACTTCAAGGGCGGCCTAATCCCTCCCAAGCTCAGCAGAGCGATTCCCGTGTCCAAGGGACTGCATCACCACGGCCAGGCGCCAGAGGCGGCGGGGTATACGGTCGAGGAGCTTTCCATATACGCGCGGAGTGCCGTCCCCGCGCAGCGTTGTATCGCTTTCCAAACACTGGGACGGATCCTGTATAGGCTAGGGAAAGGCGAATGGGGCAACGGCGAGGAGGATAGTCTGGCGAGGGGCATCTGGAGCAGTATTCAGGAAGGGCGGGTGTTGGAAAGCCTATCAGAGGCGGCAATTGTCGAAGGAGGCCACCGGGGAAGCCGCGCGTACGCGACGGAAGCACTATGGCTGTTTGAGAAGGGCGGTTGGAGGGAGCAGTGGTCGGGCAGGTAGGAAATGGGATAGTTATTGCCCCCCGACTCTGCGTCTGCGATAGAAAGCTTCCGGGGCTAGTGCTCCTGGCAGAGAGATCAACAACGGCACCACAAATATGAGACCATGACTTGTGCTGAGGAGAGGAAAGGTTGGCCGTCCAACACAAGCCTTCAAACTGTAAAGGCTAAAGCCGGCGCCAGAAGAACAAAACGGCTAGGCTGAATGAATCAGTGGAAGCCTAGCAATAGCGGCGTCTTCGTCGGTTTTGGCCTTGCGACCCCTAGGCTTAACGTTGGGCCGGGCCAAAAAGCTTTGCGACGTCGTGCGTCCGGCCCAAGTCTATCCATCTATGCCGTTTCTACCCCGTACTACCCATAAAAGCGGACAGGCGAGAGGGGTTCTCGCTCTCACAACAACACAACTCCCCCGCCCTTTACCCTCTTTCTGGGATCACGCAATCCCTCCTGGGCCGGGGCCGGGCCCTCGACAACGCAAAGAGAACTCCCGGGGGCGGCTCCGGGTCACGTTATCTGGGCCGACCGGACGTGCTCGAGCGCGGCCAATGCCTCTTTTGGGGCCCAAACCGAGCCCGTCGTGCTGCTTCTCGCGGAAATCCTCAGAGGTGAGGAAGTTTACGGAAGCTTGTATGGTTTCTATACCAATGGCATACGCACGCTGTCTGGAGGAGGGCATATCTGCAAGCTTGAACTTGGTCCTCCAACAGCCGACCCAACCCAACAGCCATCAGACTCGGAAAGAAACGAGAGCGAGAAAGAGCGAGAAGGACGCTAGGCCATGTCGGCTGCAAGTATGATTGCTGATATGTATACCCAAGGTAGTCTTAGGAATCAAGACCCCGTGAGCTTCCGGCGCTACTGTAACAGCCTTTAACCTGACCGAAACGCCAAGTCCTGACTCTGGTTACTTTCCTGTCCTGTTGGGGAAATTCAATAGGACAGCGGCCCCCTCCCCAAAACTGCCCGTGGGCGTGCACTGGGCGAAATACGCCGGGCTGTTTTCTTTTTTTCTTCTTCTTTTCTTCCTTCTTCTGCTTCTTCTGCTGCTTTTTCACGCGCCAGTACGGGCATCCCGGCTCGGTCGCAGGGTCTCCGCCGTCCCGATACTCACCCCACCCGTACCGGCCTCCACAAGCCCATCCCGCCAAACAGGCAGCGGACCTTAACTAGGAAAAAAAACCATATTATCTACCAATCCCCTTGCTACCTGGTAAAACCTTGGGCCCTGTCGGCCTGATTTTGATCTGACACCACTGGGACGGCCGCAACGAGCAGACTTGGACCTTTAAAAGGGCCTCTAGGAGAAACGCGAGGACGGCGCCCGATTGTGCCGTCTCGAACCACCCTGGATCGGGTCGTTACGCGACGGAGACTTTGTCCCGGTTGCACGTCGTGCCGCCACACCTTCGGTCAAGAACTGTCGAAATGAATATGGGATGGTGGGTGGACGGAATGGGCAGTCAAACCTTTAGCCAATGACTTGACACGGCGACGAGTCTGAGAGGGAGAGAGAGAGGGCGGTATTAATACATATGCCAAGCCTCCAAGGCGGGTTGTTTAAGTGTATAAACGATAAGGCGTTGCGCGCGAAGAGGGGGGGGGGTCGCGTGTTTCGCAATAGCTTCCCCTCTCCGACTGCTCCATATCGCTTTGCTGCTCTTAGGCCGAACCGAGCCGGCGGCAGTCGCCGTAGGTAGTCTTTACTGCACCGTCTTGGCATTGTGTCGAACCAAGCTGCTGGGCTCGCTCCGATGCGGTCGGCTCGGCTGCCAGTTTATAGAAATGGCTCGGGCGTTTAAGAGTTTCATAGAGCTTAGTGGACCTTCCCTTCTCCTCTACTCGGTCAAACCTACTACGCAATAGCTCTGTCCATCAGCCAATAATCAGCCGGGTTGCCAGTAGCCAACTGGTTAATACCTCTGACGATGCCCGCCTGTACTACGGGCCAAGTGCTTCCTGGACATTCCTGACCGGCACCAGGCCCATCCGTAGATAGGGTTTGTGATTGTTCCAGGACCTTTCTACGTTGACTCGGGGAGCACACCCACCCGTGTGAACTATGAGACGAGTCGATTCCATGTATGTTCAGGGTAATCCAACCACACCACCCAATGCCATTTCCAGACAGTATCTAGGATGCCCTCATTGGGTTCAGACCCCTCCTCGACCGAACAGAGGTCGAGCTCTGGACCCTTTCCGTGGAGCTTACTCGTGTTTCTCGCATATTACTTCTTGTCTGTACCATCAACAACGTGTCGAAACCTAACGCTGGCCGGTATAACCATGCCAAAAATATATTCATCCCTCTTGGCACGTGGCGACGAGGAGGACGGTCCTCCGTTGTCCTTCTTTATCCCCCCGGATCCCGCGGCCAGATTGTGAGTGAGCATCGTTCGTCCTCTGTTTCTTGTATTACCCGACGATGTGTAACATCGCTGCTTGAACCGCCACCATCCCCAAGAACACATCGATGTGTACCGCCAGCTCTTCGTCATGGGCCGGTTTACGCAGTGATGACCAACTCCACAGGTCCGATCGGTGCGGCCCCGCCGCCTCCCGGGGTGACGCCCGACTTCGATAATCCGCGAGACGTCGGGCACACTTCCCACATTGTGTTCACGAGCTTTATTCAGGCCATCGTGGTACTCTTCTTCGCCTTACGCATCTATGTGAAGTGGTCGGTGAAGGGAAAATTTCGATTGGAAGATTGTAGGTTCTGGCGTGCACGTTCTGCCCTGATATCGTTAGGACTGACATGAGTAATAGGGAGTTGTCTGATTGGATGGGTAAGCTCCAATGCTGGCATCTGAATTTTATATCGGCTTCTGACCTGTCCAGATCTTCACCGTCATCATGAATTCGACCGTTCTTATGAGTGCGTGTCCAGTACGGAGGGTGCAGAGTGGATGGCCATTAACGGCGTAAACAGAGATCCGTTACGGTTTAGGATACCATATATGGGAGCTCACCAAGACTGAATTCGAGCACCTTCAGAAGGTATCTTGACCCCGGGAAGCCGCCAAAAGACGTTTTCTACTGACACGACCAACTGCAGTGGATGTATATCGGCTCCTTGTTGTATTCGCCGGCAGCGTTCTTCACCAAGATCTCTATCCTTCTCCTCACCGTGCGCGTCTTCTCCGTCGATGCGGCTGCCGCCAGAATACTGCACCTTCTCCCGTTCTTCTTCCTGATTTGCTACATCCCGGCAGAAATCGCAAAAGCTTGCGTATGCATTCCTGTGCAGTCGTTTTGGGACCAGTCAATGACCGACTTCAAATGCATCGATCAGACAAAACTGTTCCTGTACGATAGCTCGTTATCGGCATTCTCCGACCTCATCATCCTGATCGTTCCCATGGTTCTGGCGTCAAGGCTGAGAGTTTCAACCCTCAAGAAGATCAAGATTGTGGGCCTTCTGGGCACCGGCGGCGTGGCTGTTGCGGTGACGATCTACAGGTTATACCTGGTGAACAAATACGATAACACGAAGGATCCAACCATGGACTTTGTGCCTCTCGACTGGACAGTGTAAGTAAGCCTCTGGGCTCTGCGTTGCGAGCTACCGCCTGCCAGCCTGCTAACGTTGACTGACCGCAATATAATACATCAGGGCCGGAGAGCTCGGCATTGGTATAGTTTGCGCTTGCTTTCCCTCGGTAAATCATGTTCTGGAAGAGCGTGCCGCCAGAACAGCTTTGGAGTCCAAGGAGCCTCAGGGACTGTCGCGATGGTGGAGGGAAACATCGAAAAGGTGTTCCGATGCCTTGTCATCTTGGGGTCAAGCACATGGGTACAGGATGCCGGCTTTTAGGAGAACCGAAGAGGAGCAAAAATGCGACTCGGTCGGCGGTGTATCAGCCTTGCCCGAGTCAGAGAATGGCGAGCCCAAGAAATTGGATTACGACGTCGAGCTGGCAGCGGTGTCGGCATCGCACCTCGACCCTCACCCGGGGGAGCTGGTGGACTCAGGAGTGGGAGGCTACGGTCAGAACTGTCTGACTCCACTGCCTATTATCAGGCGAAGCAGTCCTTTCAAGATCAATTGCCGGCCATGAGACTATTCCTATACTTTGTGTTGGTACAAGAGCATAGTAGCTCACATGGGTTCCAGTCGAACCGGTTTTGCCGGCCTAGCCTATCAAGAAGTACGACACGACCACCTAGAGCCTCCTGTTGAAGGACCAGAGCTATCCTAGCAATGGCGCTCTTGACGGAAGGCCCCGGCTTGATTGCCAATTCCAGATGTATCCAATACCTGGCGTCGTCTTGTTGGCAGCATCGGGCGAGGCTGGTCAAAACGAGGCACGTCAGCGGGGGAGGTTGAAAAATACCATCTTGGATGCTACTAATCAGCATGGTAGCGTGTAACAGAGCTGGATAATCTGCCGTCCGCGATAGGAACGAAGCTGCAGCTATGGATGTTCTGGCGTTGCCGTTCTGTTCATCGGAGATAAGCAATCGTGGCAACGTATAGCAGTAGCTGGGATGGAACGAGCCGCCACATGGGAGGGATCTCCACAGCCGAAGCATTGAGGAGAGGGGAGAAGCAAGAACGGCAGGGCGCAATTTCCGTCGTCCTCATGCCGAAGCTTGAAACAAAGGGTCGGAAATCAGCTGGTCCACGCGGCTCGGATCCGGATTGACAGCTTGTCATTGTCGAGCTTGGAAGACTTGGCTGATTGAGGATGGATTGGTGCAGGAACTGTGTATTATAGTCTTAAGAAAGGCAGATATACTGCATCGAGGCTCTAGCGTCGGCGGGATATGTGTGAGAAAGAAGCAATGGAGAGTGACAAGACGAAAGGAACAGGTCAGGAACGATGTTGGTATAGATCGATAGGAGTCCAGTCCTCATTTGTTGCGTTGCGGAACTTTTGAAATTTGTCGTCGTGGCCGTGGTGACGGGAAACAACAAGCAAGGAGGTGACGACACGGACGACTAACTGACACCAATGGAGGCTATGCAGAAGCCATGAGTAAGACACGCACGCTTTCCTGACGATGCAGAATTGATACGGCAACGGGACAGCAATTGGAGGTCTCAGTCTCACCTGCAAGGCGAGTGGTCCGCTGTGCGGGTGCAGTGCCCAGGGGGGCGCCTGCCTGTCTTTGCCGGCGCCATAAGCGGATGGAAAATATATGATTGGGTGCATTATGGGATAGACGGACACAAACACAGCTGACTAAGGAAGGCGAGACGCCTTGCATTAAGTTACCTACCTAGGTAGACGTATATTATCATTATTTGCTCCGTTGAAACGTCTTGTACGAGGAAACACAACGGTTCAATTCTCCATGCTCCCCTAATATTCCAGGTGTAGCGGCGATTCGCTTCTGCATCAACATTGCACAGAACTCTGAGAAATCGCGAGGTGAGGTGCGCGGGTTCATCAGCATATTACATAAGCAAGTCACATTCTCCCTGAGTAAGTTAGCCCGAGGCACGTACTTGGTGCGCTGTGCCCAAGGCCGTAAAGCAAAGGGACCTGAATCTCAACGCTGCTTCAAGGCTCCAAGTGCCCTGTATTAGAGTGAGGCGTGAGCTCGGGCAGGGGGGAAAAACATTTGGCCAGGTTGTGCCAGTCACAGCCAAGGCGAACCGAACCTGGAGCGCAGAGGCGACGTCTGACTGGACTGACTGGCTGGCAGAAGCCAGACAAGAGTGGAAAAAAAATATTCACAAAATCCCACTTCCCTTCTCTTCCCTTCCCCTTCTCTCCTCCAGCCCACACAACAACACGCACCGTTGCACGTCAACCCCCCCTCCCCTTCAGGGTGCCTCTCCTCCCATTCTCTTTCTCTCCTCCTCGCGTTCTTCCCTAGTTTTCTTCCTTGGGTCTCCCCCTATAGCCCAACGGCTCAGCTTCCCTCGAACTGTCGTCGTTCCCCTCGTCCGTCGTCCTTGTTGACTGTACGTGTGTCTGTCCGCATCTCGATTTCGAACCCCATCTCTGAAATTAAGATTGCCCCGTCAGCTGTCGACCACCCATTTACACGTCATCCGTCCGCCGACAAGCTTCAAAGCCGACCCGACCGACGCTCAACCTTGCACCGCCGTATATTCTACAGTATTGCACCCGACGTCAGAACATCAATCAATCAAATACCTCTTGTTCCCTTCGACCGACGACGCCGAAGCAGATCAACAAACAAGGCTTTCTTTGCTGTAACAATAAAGACTTTGCCCGGAATCACCCTCTCCCGTGGATATTCCCACGTCTTTTGCTCGCCTTAACGCAGCGGCGTTGCATCAAGCACCGAGCCGTTCCAATCTGCTGTCCGTCCTGCCTCGACGACGACGACAACTACCTCAGATTTCTGATCCCATTGAAGAAGAACCATCAATCTTACCCCAAGAACGTCATCCTTCCCCACCGGCACACCTGCTCTCGATACGATACACACTGTGACTTTGACTAGTCATGGCGTCCTCACAATTGCAGTTTGCCTACCGAACCCAGAAGGGCATCGGCCTGTTTGATGCTGCCCCGACCTACCAGCCTCTCGCTGGGTTCGCCAAGCCCGAAGGGAACCTCCGGTGTTGTGCATACTCGCCCTGTGGCCGCTACTTTGCCTGGGCGAGCCCCGAAGTTGTTACGGTTGTCGACGCATCCAACGGCCAGCAGGTTCTTGCCCTCCCCATCCTCAATGTTTATGAGCTCGGCTTCTCACCCCTCGGCACCTTCATCGTCACCTGGGAGCGCCCTGGTAAGGACGAGAACGGAGATGCGACCAAGAACCTGAAGGTTTGGCGCACCGTCGAGGAGGGTCTTGCCGGCGCCGACAAGCTGCCCCTGGGCAAGTACGTCCAGAAGTCTCAGGGAGGCTGGAACCTTCAGTACACGGCTGATGAGAAGTTCTGTGCCCGCCAAGTCACCAACGAAGTCCAGTTCTACGAGAGTCACGACCTGGGCACCGTCTGGAACAAGCTGAGAGTCGAGGGCGTTGCCGACTTTGCCCTGGCACCCGGCCGCTCTCATTCTGTCGCAGTCTTCATCCCCGAACGCAAGGTTGGTGACGAGAACACCGCCGCCGGATCCTGAAATTCACTTGCTAACATTTACATGTCAGGGACAACCCGCCGCTGTCAAGGTCTACAACGTGCCTCAGTTCACATCGCCCATTTCTCAAAAGACTTTTTTTAAGGGCGACAAGGTCCAGCTCAAGTGGAACAAACTGGGTACCAGTATCCTCGTGCTGGCCCAGACCGACGTCGACAAGTCCAACAAGAGCTACTACGGCGAGACCACGCTCTACCTGTTGAGCGTCAACGGCTCTTTCGACGCCCGTGTGAGTCTCGACAAGGAGGGTCCCATTCACGATGTGACCTGGTCTCCGAACTCCAAAGAGTTTGGCGTCGTCTACGGATACATGCCTGCCAAGACCACCATCTTCAACCACCGAGCCGTCGCGACGCACTCGTTCCCCTTGGGCCCTCGCAACACCATCATCTTCTCGCCCACTGGGCGTTTTGCCCTTGTTGCTGGCTTCGGTAATCTAGCAGGCCAGATCGACGTGTACGACCTCGAGAAGGACTTCCGTAAGCTGCATACCATTGAGAGTGGCAATCCCAGTGTCTGCACGTGGAGCCCCGATAGTCGTTATATCATAACGGCCACCACCTCTCCGCGTCTCCGTGTCGATAACGGCATCAAGATCTGGCACGTCAGCGGCCCCCTCATGTACAATGAGGACATGGTTGAGCTGTACCACGTTGTTTGGAGGCCCCAGGATACCGACAAGGTTGCGGGCGGAGATCCCCTGAACCCGGTTCCCGCCCCGCACGCCTCTGCGGCTACCTACCTCGGCACTGTCAAGACTCCCAGCAAGCCCGCGGGAGCTTACCGTCCTCCGGGCGCCCGTGGTCTCGCCACTCCGCTTCATTTCAAGCGAGAAGACGAGGGCGGTGCGGCTCACATCAGCATGAACAACGGCTCTGCGGCCATCGGACCTAACGGTTTCGGACGCCCCCGTCGTGGCGTGCCTGGCGCTGAGTTCGCCGGCGTTCCCGGTGCCACCCCCAAGGTTCCCGGAGCCGACCCCGCCGCCGATGGCGATGAGAATTTGTCAAAGGCGGCGTTGAAGAACAAGAAGAAGCGGAACAACAAGAAGAAGGACGGCGACGCGAACCCCGAAGGCCAGAACGGCGGCGGTGCCTCGCTTGCCCCGCCTCGCGATTTCGGCCCGGGAGCCGGCCACGAAGGTCGCAGCCCTGAGCGCCGTGGCGGTGCCGGAGGTAACAACAGACTCCGCAGCCGCTCTCGTAACCCCGGTGCCGGTCAGCATCGTAACAGGAGCAACACCCATCGGGGCCAGAACGGCGCGCCCCAGGTGCCTAATGTCCAAGTCCCCAATGCGCAAGCGCAGCAGGCCGCCCCCGTGGCTGATGCCGGCGGCGACGCCTCACAAAACCCGAATGCGAAGAAGATTCGCAGCCTGCAGAAGAAGGTGCGAGCTATCGAAGACCTCGAGATGAGACTGGCCGGAGGCGAGAAGCTCGAGGATACTCAAATGAAGAAGATTGGCACCAAGTCTTCTGTGCTCAAGGAGCTGGAGGTTCTTGAGAGGGAGGGACACTAATTGTTGAACTCTACCCACCAGCAAAGACAGGGACAAGATGGAGATGCCCTTGTAGGAACATGCTGGGACGTCGACCGAAGCAAAACCTACCAGGTTAACCGCCGGGTAAGGTGGCTTCCCCGAATCCCTAAGAGTTGGACGAGCTGGGTCTGGATTACGGTTGTAAAGGATTAGGAAAATGGGAAATGGAAACTGCGAGACGCACTGCGTCTATCATCAAGAAGCAGCCCCCCTTTATAAGTGCCATTTGTCAATGTTGTGCTGCGTGCTTAGCAACCAACTCTGGGGGCTTGATATTGTTGAGTGCGTTGCTTTATTGTTGAAGACACGCAACTCAAATCTCGAGAGGTAAACAACGCCATGACTGGATGCGGAACGTTCTCATTCCCTTCGTCAATGGTTCCATAGGTCTCGACTTTGGGGTTGACCTGGGGTATCCGGGGGGGGTTTCCTTGCCAAGAAGCTGCCCCGCCACTTCTCCCAGCCCCATCCCGGAAGGACCCGTATCCGTACTCTGACGCTCAAGGTGAAGTGAAGACAGAGGACCTGGGGTCGTTTGCAGATGTCCTCGGGGGTACCTAAGCCAGAGAAGACGCGTAATAAATAAAAAACGGGGGAGGGGGTCCGCAAGGCAAACGCCGACTCAGGCGGCAGGGGTCGGGGAGGGGGCGCGCGGCGGGTGTGGGGCTTTTCGGCTGACTGTCGGGGCGAGAACTGGGGGGTTTCCTAGACACTTCATTTGCCCGCCAAGCATACCTCCCCACCAGATTGATTCTGTCTGCGTCGGTATGCTTTTCGATTGATGCCCATGGTTGAGATGCCTTCCATCCTTCTCCCAGGGCGCCCGTCCCAGACCTCAAGCTGTTCTGGCAAGGACGTGTCATGGGCCCTGCTGTCCTCGCCATCAGATGCTTTGCTTCTCGAGGAAGCCGATGCGGGATCGGTGGTCAGACGGGTTTTCGGGGGCTCATGTTGAACCCAACGAGCAGCACTGAGTATATACCACGAGTCGGTTTATCGACGTAAGCGTTTACCAGTACCAATCATATCTAGGCGACGATGGTCTCCATCCTAAAGTAATAATTGAAACTGTTCATCATCATCGCCACCATCATCATCACACCGCACAACGTTGTCGCTTGGCACAGTCCCGTCCAGCCTCCGTCCTCCCATGTTCCTCGCGCTGCCCCTTCAGAATAGGCGAGGTAAGGTTCTGCCGCCGCAACAGCACGACGTCGTACTCCCTGAGCCGCTTGGCGGGGCCATTATCCATCCGGCACTTCTGCAGCCTCACGCCCAGGACGCTCCGGATCTTGCGGACCGTCTGGTACTCGGCCAGCTCGTTGCTCGTCAGGGCCGCCTGGCCCCCGAGGAGGTTCCTCCGCGCCCGCTTCACCCTCAGGTAGAACTTGATGAGGGGCAGCGCGGCGTCCAGGTTCTTCACGATCCAGCACACGTTCTCCTTGGTGGCGCCCTGGGTCCCAAAGACCTCGTCGACGCACGAGGCCATGTCCTCGTACCGCGCGGCCGTCTTGCTGTTCTGCTTCTCCAGCGGCTTGACGTTTCTCAGCACGTCGAACGGCTCGGGCGTGTGTATCCGGCGGCCGTTCCCCTCGAACCAGGTGAACTGCTGCAGCTCCCTTACGTCTGCATCCGCCTTGGCGATGGCGAAAGGGTCCCTTTGGGGGTTGGGCGTCGCCGCGAAAGCCGTCCAGACGGCCAGGCTGGATTTGCGGGAAACGACGCCCACCAGAGCGCCAATCTTTCCGGCGAGCGTCTCGAGGTCATCTGAGTCGTTGGGTAGCGAAATGACATCAGCGCGGCACGGCGGAGTATCGTCAAAGTCAATGAAGGACGTAGGCTCGTCACAGCCCGGCTTCGCCTCAGCCATAACCTCAGCCCCAGGCAAGGATCTCTTACGGCTGATCGTCATGGTGGTTCCGGTTACATGGGTCGAACTCGCAAGCGGGCTTCGGCTGTGGGAAGATATATAGGGACGATAAAGTGAACTATAAAAAGAAGGCGGGCAGGAAAACATATCATTCGTGGGCTCCCTCCCCCCTTCCTCGGGCGCATGCGATGTGTTTATCTAATTGGAGGAGACGGAGCCAAAGTGCGAGGCTAAGCAAACATGAATAGGCCAACGAGGGCCTTGGCACCAACAGAATGATGCGATGAAACGGCCCGAAAACGAAGTGTGAGCATTTTCGTTGGTTCCCCTTAGCAAAAGGTTAAAGGCTAACTGGCTATTAGAGTTGTCAAAGCCGTCATCTTTTCTAGGGGTGACTAACGGCTGTGCAATGCGAGCTGAACCTTAATTTCCGCGCCGTAGACGCGTTCGAATTACGAATTAAGAAACTTGTCGCGATGGCAATCGAACAAGGCCCTCGGTGGGACGGTGCTTATAGTCTCCGCAACTCCCCTCTCCAAAAGCTCATTGTGAGTCCTCGCTATTAGTCCCACCCCCGCCGTCAAGATGGATTTGGAGGTCTCTTCGTCAAGGTTGAATAGCGTCGTTCAGTCTCTTGACCGCGCTGCCGAGCTTGCCCAACTTGTTCTCGAGTTCGTTGAGTTGACAACTCGTCTCCCTCCGCTTCTTGGTCGAAAATGCGACGCAGGACTTCGCAACAGAATCCACCGCCTTTTGCAGGGCTGCCAGGCATTCATGTTCATGGGCTGGTGCCTCGGCTGGTTCGATTGATGCCATGGTCTGAACGAGAGTCAGAGTGAGGGGCGACGGATCGGCCACGACAATATCGGCCGGCGGGCTCTCAGGCCTCACAAACCGGCATCGGCGGCCTCGACGACGACCATAGTATCCTCTCGCTTCAAAGGGACCTTCATTCTCCGTCCCAGAGTCGACTAGAATAATGGGACTGGACCCGCCACTTCGAGTTGGCGTTATCAGGGCGGCAACGGCTCGCTTGGGCGTCGAAGCTGTCGGCTTCGCGTTGGACCGGCGAAACCCAAAGACATCGTCTTCGGAGCCCTCACTCTCATGGATGAAGTGTTTCCTGGCCTTCTTTGGCGACTCGATCCGTCTGGGTGCTTCGACTCTTCTCTTCGTTTCTCGACTGTGGGCCGTGAAGATGGCATCGGCCGCTCCTTCACTGGACTCCCCCTCCCCACCCTCTGCGGCGAAACTCTGCGGGAGATTGAGGCCATCTTCCGTATTCTCACCGACATCTTCGTCTGCCTCTTCGCCGGATACATCATCGTCGTCTCCGCCGTTCTTAATGACTTTTGTGTATAAAAGCGCAGCGTCTTTGCGCCAAGTCTTGAGGATATCGCTCGCTGTCGATGGATTTCTTTTCCAAGCCGTCACTTGTACCAAGGGGTATTTGTTTTTGAGAAAGTGAGTCATCGCCATGTTGGCGTTGTCACCGTTCCACCAGAACGAGTGTGCGGCGGGCATCAAATGAGCGACGTAGCATTCAGAGAGCAGTTGCTGATCAGCATCATCGAGCAGTTGGCTTGCAACATCAGGATATTGGGAGTTCCATTCATCGATAGTGTGGGTCAGGGCAAGGAAAGCTAGTTGATCTTCTAGAGAAGTATGATGGCCTTTGTGGGGGCGGCGAGGTACCATACTGAATATTGTCAACTACATACACATATAGAGCGTTCTGGCTCCTAGTAAAAAGACTTACGTTTTGGTCGAGGTTGAGTCCAAGGGTGAAGAGTTGTCGCTTGTTCCCAAGAAAGAGTGATAAAGAGGCCGTAGTCAGGGGGGTAAGGAGGAACAGAGAGGGAGTCATGCGTAGCAGCGAATTCGATATCGAGACCGGACTCCTTTCTGTTTGTGTGGCCGATATTGAAATATGACGGTTGTGGTTTAGGGCATCAACGCGCTCAAGAAGGCTGGCTGCAGCTGGGATCCATCTAGCAGAGGAAAGGAGTGGAAATAGAAATGTCAAAACGAACAAGCTATTATAAGAAATTAAGGTGAGAAGAAAAGTCAGATATATGCCCTGATCCAAAACTCAAAGGTGACACTGGGAAGGGGCGTGAAGTACGTTCCTGGTTCTTTCCATCTTAAGAAATACCCTCAGCTGTGATGCCGTTAACCGAGACGTAGGCTAGTTGTAAACTCTGAGAACGGTCCCTGCGAACTTCAATTTTGATATTTCGTGATTCAACCGATAAGGTCTGTCTTCTTTTCAATGAGATACATAGTCCTGATAACCCAGTACCTCATCTATTTAACAAATGCATCTCTTTGTTAATTTCAAAACAGCAAAAGAAAGATCAGTCCTAACTAAACCTTGTATTACTCTGACATGAGCCTCATGATCTGCTGAATGTTTGATCGGAATATGTATAGCTTAGACTTTTGCGAATCACCAGTGCGAAGTCGCCCAAAGTGTCTGGCAGAGCTCATCAACCCAATGTTATTTATACCTCAGGGTCTTTGCCGGCGTATCCATCGTCCCCTGCCGCACGGCATCTTTTGAAATTAGGCTCACCGGCTGGTGTTAGCTGCTTCTGTCTCTCTCTTCAAGGGATGAAAACCCCATTTACAAATGCCTTTGTACAAAATCTGGACTTTGCATTTGTTTTCTCCATGCAGGCCTTCGTAAGCTTGGACGCTTCCAAAGGAGCCAGGGCTTTCTTTCGTGAAGTCATCGGAGGATGGCAATGATTCGGCCGAGTCAATCGGATAGAGATTCGGGAGTCCAACTGTGGCGCAGGCATCACAGCGCCTCTACTGTATCTAACAAAGATGAACCTTATTTTGTGGCCATTGTGCATCCTGGGGGGACTCGTACACCGAAAAGATGAAGAAATCCGGCGCAACTGGGCCTTCACCTTGGTATGCATAGAGAGGCTTTGCCAAGAACTGGACGGTGGTCCCAGACCCCCACTGGCTTGTTCCTGATGTCGCCTGGATCTCGCTGCCGCGTAGATACCCAGCCACATCATGCAAAAGAATATGAATCCGGCATCCAGGATGAGCTTGGGGCCCGTCAAGAAACCATTGTGTACAAGGCGCTCTCTTTGTTCGGGGCCAAGCAGGGTAAACGACCCATGATACATCATTGCGGTGGTGTTTTCAGAAAGTCTGGACAGGACCGGGCCATGTCATGCTTCTCAACAAGGCGCACCGCATCTTTCCATCCTTCCTCTGGGCCGCCTCGTTCTTTGACAAATACTTCATCGAGAAGACAGGGACATTGGAGGTCATGACTGCGCGGCCTATAGTATCTTATGACCATGCGAAAAGGTGTAAACCAAAGATACAAGACAGCGAAGGGGGGCTCTTTCTTGGACGACCGAACGAGCAAATCAGCAAAACAGCCAGAAGGTTCGGCAACGAGAGGCTATCCCAACATCTTCTACCACCGAGCCAGCCACACCCGGCACGTTGGAGAAGCTCATCTTGGATGTCAACGATCGCCGGAAAACACTGTAACTATATGATGAAGCACACAAGACTATGCTAACACATACGACCATACCCACTGGAGAACTCGGGATCCCGTCCGCTCTCCCATAGATAAGCTAGTGAGGGCCGGATTAGTAGTTGGGTCGGTGACGACCAGCGAATACCTGGTGTTGTATGTTTTGCTGAGCGTTTTGAAGACCTTGACGTCTCCATTGTTTGTAGTTATGTATATCATTAGGCGGTCGACAAGAAAAAAGGCCGCACTCACAAATTACGGTGGTTAATTCAAGTACCTATACGCTAAAATTAAGGTATATAGGTAGTATTAGGTCATCTATCTCCCTAACATATTGTAGATCCCTAAGGCACTGCTCACCTCAGGTTAACTTTACTGAGCGCGGCTTTTTCTTTTGCCGACCGATTGTCGCCTCAAAGTCAGACGAGAAATTTTTTTGACACGGCTGAATGCAAGATGGGTCTCCCAGCAAGCTTGAATATATACACCGTGGTGTTCACTAAATACATTGTACGGTAGCAGAGTCGGGGACCACAACATAATCTGAGAGGTATCGAGCAACATTGATGCAAAACGTCAACGTTACGGTGTACGAATTCAAGAGGCGGAAACCAGTGAAGACAGGAGAGTTGACCAGCAGCAAAAGTAAGGCAGGAGGAAGAGCCTAATACAATGTTCGAGTGACTACTGTCCTAAGTGCAAACATCGAAGTGCGACCTCCAGCACGGGTGACTAAAGATAATGAATTTGAGTGTTCACAGGTTGTTGCAAACACAATGTCGCTTTTCGCTTTCCAATCACACAATCACCCCATCCCCGGTTGAGGGTCCGAGCCAGAATGATTAGGCAAGTGCCACATTATGTGTCATGTTCAACGAAGTGGATATTATCGTGAGTTCATATCAAGCACCACGTTGCACGAGGCATTCCATACAAAATGCATCATAAGCAAATGAAATTTGACCTGCTACAGTAAACTTAATTCTATGGTCATTGGCAATCGACACCTCCCGCAGTTGTTCATTCAGCCCTTCCCCCCATAGTGATGGTCCAGATAACCAAACCTGTCAAGTCAGGCTCTATCTTCCATCAGTTGCGCTGCCGCCAGTAAAAGGTGTGTAGCTCGTCTAGCTGGGTCGAAAGGACTGTTATGACAAGCTCTCTGGGGTCGCCGTTGCACGCATCTTTGATCATGCGGAGATAGTCCTGTCGCTCGAGGTTTTGCATGACAACTGGCAAGTAGCCTTGGCGCACCATGTAGTCGTGCATCAGCATTCGGCTGACCCGGCCGTTTCCATCTGGAAAGGGATGAATGTGAACGAAGTACGCCGTCATTTGGCATGCGAGGATAAGAGGGTGGATTTCCTTGCTGTGATGCTGTGAATTGCGCCAGTTGAAAAATCGGTTGACACAAGCCGGGACTTCCGCAGGATACGGGAAGACTTCAAGGGGATTGCTTCTGACTGCAATGGGCAGTTTGCGATATCCTCCGAGAGGAACGCTCCCACCCCAGGCCATGGCGTAGATAGCCTCCGATTCTGTACCTTTGATAGTCATTGCCGCCAGTTGTCTCATTTCGGCTTCATCCATTCCAGCTGTGCCGAGTCGAGCAGCGGCTGATTCGGCGATCCATTGAGAAGCAACAATGTGATTTTTTAACTCGTTCACAACAGACTCGTCCCCCCCATCGGAGCGGAGCTGCGGAAGAGCAAGCTGAGCAAGGTCTTCAGCAGCAATGGAAGCAATATCGACGTGCGCGAAGAGTTTGCTCGTGAGAAGGTCGAACACAGCAATGGTGTCTCCAATCTTCAGGGGGTTGTCCTCAATCGATACAGATTGGTGTGCATATTCGGCCACCAAAGTCTTGGCAAGCTCGGGAATTCGGGGCTTCATAAGCTCCCGTAGTTCGTCGATCTCAGCCAGCATACCCTTGTAGTCCTGCAGTGAGCTTTGTTAGTACGAACGGTACATGTGGCACAGACAAATCCACAGTAATAGCCATGTAACATGGGTACCATATGCATCAATAATTTACGTACTTGCTGAAGAGACTTGTAGCCCATTCGCTGACTGTCATACGGCTGGAAATGATCTTCCCAGACCTTGCCAGATTTGGCGAGCTCATCGTACTCTAGAGAGCCCTTCTCGAGCTTGGAAAACGGCTCGTAAATTTTGCGAAGGAGCGCTTGTCGAGCACTCTTGGAATCCTTGGAGAGGGGGCGTTTACCGCCGACATCGTAAGCAACTCTTCTGAAGCGTAGAAGTCGCGTGTGACTGCCCAGGCCACATGCGCCTTTGAAAGCGCTGAGCATCTTGAATATTAAGCCTGATGATGGCCTGTCGGGTCGATGCTAGCGTTGAATTGTCTTGAAAGGCGACGCGTAAAGAGTTGGAGGGGGGGGGGGGGGGGGGGGGGGTTTGCAAGTTGCTTGCAAGTTGCTTGCCCAAACGGAGTTCAGTCAGTGGGGCATGGCAAGGGTGCTGCGTCCTGTCCCAATCCGAACCTTGTCTACTGGGTTTGTGCAAGCAAAAATAACCAAGCGTCACGTGCAAAGGTAGGGCTCGCAGTGATAAGGCATTAATTCAACCTGAGGTAATAAACCTCCGTACTAAATCTTTCCCCTTTTGCGTGCTTGCATACGGAGTAGAGCGCTCAGCCTGCCTACCCTTGGCGCTAATATAATAAAGGCTACACGCCTGCAAAACGCTACAGACCAAGCAGCTAATAGCTAAAGCATCAAACAAGTCAGTTTATAGGATTGAGAGAGCTAGGACTAAGGCAGCCACATCCAAAAGACTACGTAGTATATAATTAAACTAGATTAAAGGCAGTAAATAGTGTATATTAGTACGTTAAATAATAAATATTAGTGCTATAAGGCTTATAGGGGTTATAATAGTAAGTAGCTTTAAATAATAAATAATATAAGTAATTAAAAAGTAACGTCCTGCTTAGTTTTTTATTTTTAGTAATAAAATGTAGAATTATAATTACTATATATTAATTACGCCTTATCTCTTCTATGTTCTTTCTTTTCTTAAAATCAGGATAAGAGGTGGATAGTAAGGGGTGCACGTATCTTAGCACTATGTGTTATGGCAACGAGGTTTGAAACGGTGGAGCCAGAGGAATACCGTTTTTGGTAAGGACCTACCTACTTTATGCCGTAAGGTTGGGCTGCGAAGGGAGCTTTGCCTTCCAGTGATGGACATGTAAGTCGTCGAAAACAGGAAGTCAAGGCTCTCACAGCTAAGACTTCACGAGGGCCGGATTAGTAGTTGAGTCGGTGACGATCAGCGAATACCTGGTGTTGTATGTTTTTTGCTTTTTTGGGTACAGTCTCTGGTTGGCCACGAGCTGTACAAAAGAAAAAGGTGGGAGAGATCAGCAAAGAGCTTGCACCGGCAACCGCCGTTTGCCCTAAAGTTCCCGGCGTGCGGCGAAGTACTCTATGCACGTTCGGGACGTAATAGTGGATGTTGACTGCGAGGTTGATTGGCCGCGACCTTTATCCATTTCACCCATACTAGAGCTACAAATAAGAGCAAACGATGACTATATACACTTCCAGGCTGCAGGGATTATAGCTCACGACCATTGTTTACAAACAAATACCCACAACACTTACGGAACAGGTGTCTTTGGAAACATTGCACAGAGCACTCGAAAGACGAAAAGCTGTCGGCCTGGAAACTGCTCATTGAAGCCCATTCGAACAGCACCCCCCGGTTCACGGTTCAACCTCTTCGCCAAACAACATGCGTCATGAGGAAACAAGAACTGCCGATGGGAGTTTGTGTGAACCAACGGCTGCCACGTCCCAAGAGTACATGAGACCAGGACAAGCCACAGGGCGACATACATAGTAAGCACATTTTTTCCCCTGACCCCTTCCAGGTTTCAGGAGTGCTACTGAAACCGGTGGGGTTCTCTTAGGAGCATCAACTTCCATCCCATGCTGATGGGGTTTGGGGCGATACTCTAATTTTAAGTTCACGTCACTCGACCCATGGAAAACGAAGACCTAATCATTGTCACGAGAGCTTCCCGATACCGTCGTCTTTGTCTTGCCGATTCATCAGGAAGTGGACGGAAAAGGCCAGGATGGTATTATCATCATCAGCAGCAGCACTGCTCCCCTTAGCGGCAGCCCTCGCGTCATACGCGGTTGCATCGGAGACCCAAGCGCCATTGCGCTGGGCGCAAACGTGCCCATGGACACCGCTGGACGAGTCGCTGTTGGAATGCTCGATCTGGGACCTCACGACGGCAGAGACGAAAGGTGAAGAGAAGGACTTGGACCAAGAACGGAGGCGAACGAACGGAACGACGGACCCAGAACCGGAGCCGGTGGGCTGGACAGGCCCGCACGGGTGTGCGGGCAACTACTGCCTGTACGCCAACCGCGGCTTCGCTGACGGGCGCGGCATCGTCATCATCTCGACACCGGAAAACGTCCAGAAAGTGAGGGACCTGGAGCAAAACCTACAGAGCCAGCCTCTCGAGGAGGACCCGTCGTCGGGGGCACCGCCGTTCGAGATTAAGGAGGTCGAGGGCAAAGGCCTGGGCATGATCGCCAACAAGACTCTCGCAAGAGGCGATAACGTCATGCTCAAGACGCCCGTCCTCCTTGCCCACCGCGCCTTCATCGAACGCACCCCGGCGGCGGACCGGCACGCGCTCCTCGACGCCGTCGCGGGCTTTCTCCCGCCGGCGACGCGGGCCGGCTTCCTGAGCCAGATGGGCCACTTTGGCGGACACCAGGTCAGCGATATCATGGCGACCAACTCGTTCCAGATGGACGTCGGCGGCGGCGCGCAGGACGACGGCCACCACTACGGTAACTACCCCGAGGTGTCGCGGTACAACCACGACTGCCGGCCCAACGTGGCCTTCCGCATCGGCGCGGACCTGCGCCACCGCACCACCGTCGTCCGGCCAGTGAAGCCCGGCGAGGAGCTTACCATCGCCTACCTCGACCCCCTCGCCACCCGCTCGGTGCGGCAGCACCGCGCCAAGCGGGCGTGGGGCTTCGAGTGCGGGTGCTCGCAGTGCGGGCTGGCCAAGAAGCAAGCGGCGGCGTCGGACGCGCGGCTGCTCGAGATCGAGGAGCTCGACAGGCTGCTCTCGGATGTGTCGGCGATGGTGACGTCGGCCACGGTCGAGCGGTTCCTGAAGCTGCACGCGGAGGAGAGACTGGAGGCCAAGCTGGCCGGGGCGTACACCACCGCGGCGCTCAACTTCAACCTCTTGGGCAAGAACAAGATGGCGGCCAAGTACGCCAGGTTGGCGGTTGAGGCGGGGACGATCGAGAATGGCTCAGAGTCGGAGGACGTCGAGGCCATGAAGGCGCTGGCGGCTGACCCGAAGAAGCACTTCACCTGGAGGGGGAGAGTCCGGTGAAGGGCTATGAGGCTCGCATCATCGATACTTACGGTGAACTATTGATGCAACTTTGACTGTTTCGACCTATCCCTGGACGAGCCCGTTTCGATAGCCGGAGATGTCAAAATCGTGGTCGGCTCGGCAATTGACAGACAGCCTCTCGAGAGGCGACAGCTTATACCGGAGCCGTTGGCTTGCTTGAAGAAGCATGACGGTCGCGCTGCCCTCCGCTCGGCTTGACCTATTCCCGGGGACGATAAAACCAGTTCGAGCGTCTAGGTTCGACACGATATGCAGATGCGGAACTCGTGGAATGACTCGGGACACGATGGAAAGATGATACAAGGCCATCGAGGCGCCTTTTTCGCGCCGGCTGTGAGGAATAATAAGCATCTTTCGCACGACCATATATGCGATGTTCTAAGAGACCGTCCCCTCCCCATATGCCGTGACACTGTGATTTTTCTTTTCTTACAGACCGCGTGCGTCTTGCACTTTGAACGCAATCTCGCACGCGCGGTTGCCGGTAAAATGCCAGTGCACTTTTGGTCGGCGGCCAGTGTCTACCCCAATCTAGAAGGATTACCACATAGGAGCTAGACATACCATATTCTATCACCCTAACTCTAGGTAACCCAGACCCTAACCAAGACCCTAACCACTAACCCTACATATCTTTAAAAGCCTACGTAGCTATAGGAGATACATAGGGTTAGTGGTTAGGGTCTGGGTTACCTAGAGTTAGGGTGATGGAATATGATTATTTTATCTGTGGCAGTGGTGGCAGTACCTTCCAAAATAGGCTTAAATCACTGGCATTTTACCGGCAACCGCACGCGCCGCGAGGACGACCGACCCATGTCGGCACAGGCCTGCCGAAGGGGACCCCTCGTCGTCTATCTCCGACGGGCCCCGCCGCCATGAACTTTCGGCAGACCCGGGCTGCGGGCCGTCGTGTTCTAGAAGCAAGACTAATGGCCGGCCTGTGGCTAATTCGATACAAGCGGCCACGTGAGTCTTGTTTGAGCACGTCGTGCCTGCCATGGGGCCCTCTCCGTCTTTTTTGGATGCTTCCACAGATCGTCAGTCGTGTATATTCACATGGCCCGCCGCCACCACCACCACTATGCGAGGATAAATTGCAACTTGGGGCTACGTGGGGAGATTGCAATTCTGGAAGACTGTCGCTATAGCTAGCTGAAAGCTGAAAGTCGTATCCCCGCCATGAGCTATTTCGAGACCCGGCCCCTTTCAAAGACACACGGGACAGGGCCCGGCTGGCCATGTGTTCGGCAAATGCCGATTCGGTGAGCTCGGTGAGCTTGGTGGAAGAATCATTCGCTGAAAAGCATGACTCGCCAGGACCGAGAAGCGCATTGTTGCATAATGGAGGAAAGTCGGGGCAGCCTTCTCGCAAACTAGACTCCTGCAGCAAGTTGAATGTCTTAATGCGACCGGGGAGAGCAAGCAACCGGTCGCCGAGCGCCGTGGCAGAACAACAAGCGCGACGTCGAGCCGCCCGCACGTCGGCAATTGATGACAATTGTTGGATGATCAGCGGCCGGCGATAGTGTCTAGGGGTGGTGGTGTCTCACACCAGTAGGCAGGGAGAAGCAAACGCTAGTTAATCCCCGGCCGGTGCGTGGTACCCAAAGGGAGAGCGGGGGGCCGGGGGGGGGGGGGGGCGCCTTCCTATTCACTAGGCACTCGGGGGTGTTAGTAAGCAAGCTAAGAAATCTAAACACCCCCTCCTACGGATAATCACTTTTTTTTTCCTCTTTCTTTTCCCAATGCGAATAATGCCCTGCCTGGAAATGGAAATGGAAAGTGCGCAGTGCCGGTGCAAGTGGGGGCCTCCTTCCTTCCGAATCTCAGATAATAATGGGAGGACCCACTCCGGAAGACCGACCAATGGCGGCGGCGCCGGGGTTCCGTCCCGCTTGGTTTGGAGTCCTACCCTTCCACCAACCCCCGAATCAGCCAATGACGTAGACGTGATGGTTGGTCTTCCCTCCATAATGCGCTCTGATTTCACCATGTCGCAATTCCAGTTCTTTGTTTCTCGCCTGGCCTGCTCCAAGTTGGGGCGAGGATCCGCAAGTAGGCGCCCCGGCCAGTTGATGTCCCATTATCGGGCCACAATAGGCCATTGGTCTGTCGATTTAGACGAACAAACGGTTCGCTTCACCTCTCCCGAAACATTGTCAACGTCTCCCTCGGCGGGACAACTAACTCGTCGCCGGGATGGGGCCCGTTGCAAAGACCCGAATGACTTTCCCTGCTTGGATAAAATAGATTTATATAGATAAAATACATTAAAACGAGCAAGGCATCGACATGGAGAGAGAGAGTCAACACCTAGGTCCAAATCGGCTTAAACCTCTATATACCAAGGCGGCCGCACACTATATTGCATGCACACTTAGATCCAAGATCTACCTTGTAATGAGGGGGATCTGTCCAACTATCTGGCTATTGATGCCCACTCACACCCTTTCCACAAATCCCACTCGGCTACTCAACTCGCTCGTGGCAGACTCGGATCACTGGTTCTGCATGGTATCCCTGCCCCTGCGCGTCACATCCATACCGTCACGCAGCCATGACTTGCACGCAGGCCCCTCCCAACCCCATCAATACAGTACTCGACGAGGGCGGGTTTTCGAGAACGACTCTTGGCAGCTGCATCCATGAAAAATATCGTAGTTCCTCTGCTCCGGGAGCGTTGCATTAGACTTGGGTTGTCGTCATTCGACTGTCATTAACCTGATACTATATAGCATTCGTATCTCTCCCCCATCCCCGTTCCGAGGAGGATCGTGAGCTGTCATCTCGTCTTCCATCTATCTCCCCGCGGGTGCCAAACCTCCTTCACACACTACCGGGCAAACACTTACACAAATATATCGCCCCCCACATACACACTCACAAACAAACCACACACGCACACACGTACGACCACGTAATGGCGCCATTGTCGTCAGTCTCCGATTCTCTCGCCGGCGCCGCCGCGGCCCTCCACCCCACGCGGACCCTCGCACAGCTAGCATTTCGTATTTCTCCCCCATCCCCGTTCCGAGGAGGATCGTGAGCTGTCATCTCGTCTTCCATCTATCTCCCCGCGGGTGCCAAACCTCCTTCACACACTACCGGGCAAACACTTACACAAATATATCGCCCCCCACATACACACTCACAAACAAACCACACACGCACACACGTACGACCACGTAATGGCGCCATTGTCGTCAGTCTCCGATTCTCTCGCCGGCGCCGCCGCGGCCCTCCACCCCACGCGGACCCTCGCACAGCCCCTCCGAGACCTCCTCGCCCGCCAGGTCGTCACCACCGTTACTGCAACCCCCGAGACGACGGAGGATGGTGCGTCCGACAACGAGCTCAGCGGCGGCGCCATCGCCGGCATCGTCCTCGGCTCAATTGCCGGCTTTTTCCTGCTCCTGTGGATCGTCAAGTCTTGCGGTATGTGGAGCCGCCCCGACGACTGGGCCGAGAAGGACATCTATGACGACCGCCGGCACCGCGGCCGATCGCCCGCCGCCCGCCACCGGAGACGCCACCAGCACCGGTACCACCACGAGACGTCACGCTCGCGGCACCACCACCCCTCTGCGTACGAGATCAACGAGGTCCGCTACTCGCAGCCCGTCGTCTACGACAAGAGGAGGATAAGCTCGTCCCCCGTGCCGCCTTCCAACGTCTACCGGAGCAGCCGGAGCAGGACGAGATACTAGGTCTGGGCTGGTCGATCGCCGCGTACGCTGTACTAGAGCAGGTCTCCTCTGGGAATATGATTGGGTTGTCCAGGCGTACGGTGTTACTTGAGCGGCAATTCTGGGGACTTCTGGAGCATACACATGCCCCCATGTGAGAAACGCATTGCGTATGGGTTTTTCTTTACGATTACGAACTTATGATCTCAATAAAATTTCCAAACATATCTATGTAATGTGAACCATATCGGTCTCGCAAATCGGCTCTGGTCCAAGGAAGTGCCTCCATTGACCAGTGCACATTCCCTGATGATGCCCCTTGCGCTCTGCTCCACAAGATACAACTTGCGGGTGGCATGGTGAGTTCTTGCAAAGCCTGGATACCGGACTCACACACACTGTGCGTCTTGGACACCCGCAGCAAAAGATGCCAGCTTGCTCACTGGGCGGTGCTGCAAACTTCTGTGCCCCATCGGGTATTTCGAGGCTCCGCGTCCGCAGAACGGCCAGGCAAGCTATTTAAGGCTCGGAAAGATGATCTGTGCCCATTGCTTCGTGTTTCTGGGAGAGCACTTGAAGAGCCACTGGTGGTACGGATAGGTTCCGACTGTGTTAGACTATCAATGTGTACCTGTGCTATCTTAGGATGGGCCGCCTTGCAGCTTTACTTTGCTATTACGGATAGGTATCGTCGGAACAACCCAGTGACACATGGACTCGTCGGGGAAGTTGGGCCTTTCTTGGAATGGCCAGCCTCTGGGCCTGTGGATGCGCGTGCAAGAGCAACTTATCAAACACTGACCGCCCTTGACTGCCCTTTTCTGGCACCTGCTGGGCATTGCCATTCAATTCGGCCTGGAGGATTGGCTTTCTAGTTCAAGCGGATTCGGTCAAGGAGGGAGGCAGTCTCCAAACCTTCTCCATCGCACCTCCCAAACCCCCAAACCCTTCGCCTCTTTGCTATTTGCGTTGCCTCCCCCTTAAGACTCTTCTGTGAGGGCGCATCTCGCCAACCTCGGTGCTTATCGCAGTTCAACATGTATGTTACAGATGCCAAAGACGGAACGACGTTGGTTGTAGTGGCCGCTGGTCTCTCTGGCGGACTCGATGCGCTCCCACAAGATGTATTAGCTTACGCCACGAAGCAAGACGTCTCTATGGAGTGTCTTTCTGCGAAAGGATCTACTTCGAAGGCCACCCTAGAAAGTTTAGATGGTGTAGCCGCGGGGCGCTGGCCCCTATTCCAAGTCTTAAGTATACTACCGCGACGATCGCGAGGTCTACGTCTATCTCTTGGCCATGCGTAGGTGGATGGAGCCTTGAAAAGGTGATCTGACAGTCCGTTCATGATTCATATTCAATACTTGGTTCCAATGGCGAAAATGACCGGTGTATTCGCTGAGTGCTTGTTCGATGATTGGCATATTCATTTGGTGACCGAGGCGCCGATGAGACGGGTGCTTAGTGATGGCAGGCTTGTAAAAGTTGGCCACATCGATTGACGCCGGTACGCCCATAAAGCTTTTATACACGGTAATCATTCCGTGATCCGAGTTCGTTGCAGCAAAGCTGACATGTTGCCGAAGACCGAGTCGTCCCATATCGCCGGCCAACTACTTGTCTGTTTTGTGCCCACCGCCGGCTTTCTTGAGCTGAATCACTTTAAACGTCGACTGAAGACTCTGCAATGAATCTGGTAGCGGAATCCCCCGGTGGTCTTATTGGTTGATGTCTGGCAAGCCCGAAGGATGGGATGCCGCCATTATGGCACCGCTGGCCGCAGTCCATCGAAAGGTTTCGCATGTCTCAAGTTTTAAGAAACATTGTTTTCCACGGCACGGCAATCCCTATTCACCAACGGCGGAGCTGGGACTGAGTCTGTATTAACACAAAGGCGTCCTCCTGTCTATCCTAAGATCAGAGCCTTCTATCCCCGTGTAGCCTGTCGCCTAGCTCGCGATTCCCTAAGAGGAAGAAAAAGAAGAAAAGAAAGACAAAAAGCCCCTCTACCCCCAAGAGTAGTTGCAAACAAACCCAACGCCAATATTCATCCTTCATAAGGGCGGCACTCAGCCGGACTTGACCTTGTTCTTCTTGACCCAGTCGGCCCATTTCTTGTACTCGCCATACTCCAAAGACTCCTTCTTGCCCTGATACCGCACGACCTTGAGCTCGACGTCGCGCCACTTGCTCTTGCTGCCCATCCACCCGGCCTTGCGCATCAGGCTTACGAGCGTCTCCTCTTTGGTCCACTCCTGCTCGACGGCGACGTCCGGGAGGTACGTCGCGCCGTACCGCTTGCCGTGGTACATAAAGCTGATGCGAAGGCCGTGCACGCCGATGATCCAGTCCATGGCGTCTTCGGCGTCCTCAAAGTCGGTGAGCAGCGTCACAGCCACCTCGAGCGAGGGCAGCTCTGACGCCTCGACGGGCGGGAAGCGCGTGTCGTGCAGCGCCGAGGTGAGTGCGTAGCTCGACAAGCCGTCCTCAAGGTCCTGCGCCTCAAAGGTGCCGATGCAACCCCGCAGCGAGCGGTGGCCCGAGCGTGGGGAGATGGTGTTCCAGGTGACGAAGAGCGGGGACTCGGTGATGGAAGCGTTGCCGTCCTCGTCATCGTCGCCGCCGTCCGGGAGGGAGTCGGTGGATGTCGCGGGAGTCTCGGCGGTCAGCGAAACGGTGGAGCTGGAGGAGGCCGATGCCGAGTCGCTCGCAGGTTCGGCCAGACGCTGGAGTGCCGGGAGGAGCTTCTTGCTGCCATCCTTGCCGTCACCGAGGGTCTTTGCGTACTCGGGCCATGACCGCTGGATCTCCTTGAGGGAGAGGCCGGGCCGCTTCTCGAGGTGCGAGGCGAGAGCCTCGAAGCAGTAGAGGCAATGCTCCACGGAAGCCATGAGCTCGTTTTGAATGCGAAAGCACAAGCGAAGGGCGGGGGGTGGCGGCGAGGTGGCGTGACCGCAACGAGCGAACGGGCAGAGCTCTAGAGCGTTCCGCAGAGTCGATCGGGGGCTGGCAACGCAGACAGACGATGCGTAGGCGAACGAAAACGTTGGGATGGTTGGAGAGAGAGGAGGCAGAAACAGGTCTCTCAAGGTGAGGCGATGTAAGGTAGCTCTACCTCAGGGAGCTTGGGGGGAGGGGCTTACATCGATAGACGGGGATCGACAACCGAACCCCACTTCCAGATAACGGACCCCGCGATTCGGGCTCCTCGGGACGAACGTGAGCGTAATGTGGCTAGGTTATTAGGTTGGGGAGGCTAAGGAGAGCTGAGCCACTTAGTCATCAGCGCACGGGACTTAAGTCTTGTCACGTGTACAGAGACATATGTAAAATGCTAAAAATACACACGGTTCGCTCAAATGAATTTCCCATGGCAAAGCTGCTGACGTTGTTGCTGGCTGCAAGGATGGGCAGTTTCGAAACACCCCCCTGAACACCAGTAACACTGGTCCGAACGCCTCTCATCCCATCTTCCTGCACCAGAGAGGACTGAGAGGAGCCGCCCGGAACCAGTCTACCCACCTTCTGAGGAGTCTCGACTTCCACAACCCACTCAGTCCACAGGCAACCCCCCTTCCAGGCTGGAGCTTTAGAATAAGGTACGCCGGGGTGAAAACTTGGCATTGAAGCCAAACAGGATCTGGGGTCCAGACGGCGTGTTCGAGCTGTCCCCCCCTGCTGCTTTTGCTACCGGAACTTGCTGAAAGCGAACATTCGCCTGTGTGATCTCCGGCCCTCCCAGCCTTGGTAGCAGGGGTCATCGAGTAAAGTGGCGGAGAATCAGCTTCTCTGCCACCTGCGACGCGGTACTCGCCATTAGGCTAGTGGGACTCTGCTCCAGAGCGTTGCGAGGCTCCTCCGTCACAGCCCAGTTTCAGCCGTCCACATCGCCCTCTGGAGCCTTTTACCGTTTCCGCCATAAACCTCTCTCAGATGCCGATCTCCAGTCCACTTCCCTGGCGTGGGCTTGAAAGAAAAACCGGCGCCAAGACGGGACAAGCTGGACCTGGGGTGCTGGGGAAAGGGCCAGAGAAGAGGACGGGGAGCGGGCCAGCCCTGGGTCCATGGATTCCTTAACTCTACCGTCGAATGTCCTGGCCTGGTTCCTGTTATTGTAGATGACACGCCGGGAGGACCCTTGCTTCTTCCTCTACATGTGTACTGACTCGTCGTGTATCCTGTCGAGACAGATTGCCTATCGCTGCCACTCTGGCTCTCCAAGATTGGCCAGGGCATAGAGGCTGCGGCCGCGCCATCAGCCAGGGATGGAACCGGGCATGAGGTCGTCCGAGCCGCTGATCCCAAATGCTGTCACGGAAAGCACGGCCTCGTAGTTGACTCCCGGTCGAAGATTTGGATGGCAGCCCTGAGAGCGGCTATGGAACGCCGTCCATTGCAACATCGATGCGACCTCCCCTACAGCGTGTCATTACGATGTATGGTGTCGATGGGGATGCTCGGCACAGAGTGCCGTCTGATGTCCAGCCACCCCCACCAGGGTGTCTACGTGGGCTTATAGATGATATACAAATAGCTGCATCTCCTTCCTCTTGTTCCGTTTCCTTCTTGCTAACACTCACTAACCCAACTTTAAATCTTTCACCAACAACTTTCTCTTCTTGTACAACTTATTCGCTTGTCGCCGGCCGACCACTCGTTTCGATCTCCAAAGCCAAAGTCTTCTTTTCCACCGCCAAAATGCAGTACTCTATCTTCACCCTGCTTGCCGTTGCTGCCGCCTTTGTTGCTGCCGCTCCCGCCGACAGTATGTTGCCATCCAGTAGCAGAGGAGTAGAGAGAGAGAGAGAGAGAGGAGAGTATACTAACGTATTGCAATCAGTGATGGCCAAGCGTCAGCTTGCCAACTCCGTCGCGACCGAGGACGCCGCCATGACGAACGCCAACGGCGACATCATTCCCTTCAACGCTGCCAGTGTCTACCAGGCCAACAAGGACGCCGGTCTCTAAACGACAAAAAACAACGATACTTTTTTTTTTCTTTCGATGTAGAGAACGAGACCACCGGAAGATGCTGGGATGGAGGACTCGGCGGGCAGATTCAAGACCCGCAAACACATTTACGCAACACTATAAATGCCCATAAGCCCATAATCTGGTGGCAGTAGCGGGGATTGGGTTATTACAGGGCAACTCTAGGCACGACAAATCAATTAAAACGATTTGGCTTTTTTTTCATCCACCTTTTTTTGATATGGGACCAGAATCAGTGGATTTGGGTGATAGCATCGCCCATTGTGGCAGATAATTCTGAATATACCTCGACAGGCAGTTGGCATGCATTCAGTTGCTTGGCCGCTAACTAGCCTCTTTTTCCCCACCTCTCGAGAAAGTCATTCACACTTCCATCATTTGCCAAGGGTGCGGTGAGGTGCGCATTGAACACAATGCAAATCATTCAATGTGTCAACCATCTCGGTGATGCAAAACGACAGACGACGACCATCGAAGCCTTACCGAAAGAGAAGGGGGAGGGAGGGAGGAGCGTCAGTCGCTCTTTTCTGACCGGCTGAGAGAGACTGACAAGAATGTGCTTGTAAGCTTAAACGTGCCAAGTTTTACCCCAGGCAGGGGGCACAGCTGAGTCTTTGGTTTGGGTCATTATCTGTTCGCTCAGCCACGCTTCATATTCCGAAGCGAGCCCCAAATATCTTGTTTTGCAACAGCTCCGCTTGGTAGCCGGGGCCCCTCCCCGGTCATGCAGCTGGCCTGTGGTCGGGGCCCGAGTCCTCCACGGGATTCTCAATTTTCCAGCGTCTACGAGGTCGACACGCTGCCCATGTTGAAACCCACACATAGCCTGCCAGTCGCTAGCCGGGACATACATACCATGTAAGGATACATCTTAGGTTTGTTTTTCCGTTTGAAGCGCTCCACACCGAAAATTTGGATTTCGCCAAGAGGTGTCAATCGGACGTGGTTCAATAGAGTTTGGGCTGATGTTTCGATGGTGTTGAGGCTAAACTCTCACGACCAGTGGATGGTACACAATCCGATCACCTGGGTCGTCCCGACGGAAGCCAAGTAACGATGACACCTACTGCTGGCGAGTTGACCGTGATTACGGTTGGCCTGACAGATGGATAACTAGAAAGTAGGTAACGCAGGTCAATGGTGCAACAGAGAGAGGAGAGACTTCTCCGTCCCGTCCTACAGTGCTGAGTCATTGGTATTTGAACAGCAATAAGGGACACATGATGCTTATCCCACTTTATCCAAGGCTGAGCAAAAGATTTATTATTTCTATTATACGGAGAGCCCTCCACAGGTAGTTAGCTATCACTCGTGCCCCGACAACAAAGCCTGGAACCTCGTCGAGGACAGCACTGAAAAACCTTGGTCTACTCTACGGATACAATGGCATGGCATGGAAAGGCACAGACGCAGCGAGGAGAAGCCGCCCCACCACCACTTCCATACTGTGATTAGCCCAGCATACTGTTCAATTCGTACTGTGCACTCATCTGGTATCTTTGACAGGTACAAACGGTCCGAGAAGTTCCGTCCTGGTACGGATATCTAGATACCCTTGCCAAATAACTATGTATATATGCAGTACTTGTCGAGGTAGGTCTATGCATAGCGGAATCACTTGCTATGCACTTGCCTTTATGCACACCAGCTGGCAACCTAGTTGCTACAAACACCCACAGCCAACAGCAGTGGTCTCTCTCTACCTTCCCTGTTCAATGCCATGTCATAACCACTGCAGGCTGTTCCAATGAATGGGTACTCGTTTCGTATTATGTGGTCGCTGTCTGCAGCCGAGTTCAACCTCAATTAAGCTCGTCGTAGCCGATCGTTGGCAACTACTCTAACATCACGACAACATCTCACACTTCCGACCATCACCCACCCAGCAGCACACTGTCGAAATGAAAAGTCGCGCAACTTCCCCTTCGTCCAGTTGTAGACGCATGCAGCCTTGATCGGTCATAGCCACGATGCCGCATGCAAGACCAGACAGACAGTCGTCTCTGGTCCCTGGCGTCAGCGGTGAGATTCTCAAATTAGTTCCAACTGGACCGGATCCGACGTCCTCATCCACCCATGCCAGCCCTGCTGAGTATGCCGTGTTGTTCCCAGAGAAACCTGGGAACCAAAGAAACCACAACACATCATCAAACAGACCAACAAAACCCAGCCGACTTACCGCGGAGCCCACCCCTCTCCCTCCACTTGCGTGCCGTCTTCCAAGGGGTCGGTCACAACATTCAGGCTGGCACCCATAGACACAGACAATTTGGCTGCCTATGCCGCCAGGTGGCATAATTTCGAAATGGCTTTCGGACCAGTGGATATTCACAGGTGGACCGCCTTTTGATTCGTTCTGCTTTGCGCAGCCACCACAAGCGCGTCTCAACCCCATCCGACAACAGATCCTGAAGGAAGAAGACAAGCGCCTGGCGAGATGACCAGGCTTGCTACAGTCAATCCCCGACATGATCGACCCTCCACCCGGCCAGAGAGCCGCACATTGCGCAAGCTGTGGGGTTTGCGCAGACGTTTGTCTGACAGTTGCGTTCCTTTGCAGCGCTGCCAAAGCCCGCGTTTATTAACTACTCTGGAGAAACGATGACCCCAGCCGTTTGGCTGTCGAACTGGTGCTGCACGCCCAGATCTCAGCCGCAAATGCCATCCGACCCATATCAGTAGTCCGGACAGCATTCCGTTGTTCGGCGAAAGTGCACGCCATTCCGTCAAAGGTGACTAAAGGGAGCCGCCCTGGCGTTGGTGGGATAACTGACGAGATATGTTAATTTCCTCCATTATCTGAGACCCCTAGCTTGTTGACCACGCTCCCCAACTATCAGCCGTTGGCTAGAAAAAGTGTCCCGTTGTTCCCGCCACTCCTTCAGCCCGCTCCTTCCCGGGCTTCATCACGTCCTCCATGTGCGCTGGGCTCGGCTGACGGGGGCATTTGTTGCGATAATATGGTGGTGTCTGCCCAATGACACAATTGTGGCTGCTCATTAGACTCACCGCTTTTGAACAATCGACAGAGCGATTCTCGAGTACCCCAGCCCAGCCAACCCGCCTGGGGGCAAGACTGGGCGGCAATTAAGGCACGGGGGCTTGGTGGTATGCTGCAGCCTAGCCGCGAGGGAGATCTTTTTACAGACTCAGTTCGCCGTCCCGGCTGCCTGGGTATGGTTTTATATATAGCAATTGCAATCACTTTCGCCCAATACAGTTCTGACAGGCCAGGATTGCCTCATAGCCTCACTCCCCGCAATTGTTGGGCCTAGCTGCGACTAAACGCCCCCTGCCGTCAATGTTTTGTTTGTCTGTCTTAGACTCCTTCTGCTTATAACTCCCGAGGGTCGCCTTGTGTCCAGAACTCTCATCCCTCTCAGCCTCAAACAGCATCAACGGTTAGAATCACCGACCCTCGCAGGAAAATCATCCTTCCATCATCGATCCTAACATGGTTCTGCACCGCCAACAAGCCCAGTTCGACCGGGCCAGATGGCGCATGGCTTTGCTTGTTCCCCTTTGGATCCTACAGCTGCTTGTCCTCCTCGTCGACATCGGCCTGTTTTCGTGGCGCCTGTCCGACACCCTGAAGAACTGGGAGACGGAAGAGCAAACAAAGGGCATGTTCCCACTTGTCGAGGTCGTGTAAGTATAGGCCTGTGTTTGCCTGTCGACAAGGTACGGGCGCTGATCCGGTTGTGTAGATGGGAATCCGTCAACATCGCCTTCTCCCTCATTTGCCTCATCTCCACCGTGTACGAAGTATCCAAGCTCGCCGCCGAGACCTTGACACCATGGACCATGCTATTTACCCACGTCCTGAAGATCGTCTGCTCCCTGGCGACTCTGGCCCTGGATATTGTCGTCTTTTTGCAAAGGAAGGACAGTCACTACTCGATGGTTGGACTCGGCTTGGACTGCTTCCTCCTGTAAGTCATCGGATCTCCCGTGGCTCTTCTCGCGGAGAGTATAATTAACAGTCTACAGCGCTCTCATCATCATCCCCGGTATCTACTCCATCCAAACCTACCGCCGGCTCACCAAGTTCGATGACTACCACTACCCTGTCAACCACAAGCCCTACGGCTTCAACGACCTCGAAGGCGAGGCAGCCTACAACGGCCGCCTCTCCATCGGCGGCCTCAGCCTCGGTGACCGCTCCCTCCGCCGTATCTCCACGTCGTCCATCAAGAGCATGGCCGGCCCCCAGGCCCAGGAACAAATGCAGCAAGCAGCGCAGCAACAACGGCCCGATCCGAGCCCCATTCAGCGCACGCCTTTGCAGTACAACAACGAGCGTGACACACAATTCGACAGATACTTGGTCGAGCGTGCCATGACCAGAGAGTTTGGATGGGTCACCAGCCCCGGCAGCGACAACCTCAGCCGCAGCGACAGCTATGTCGGCAGCGGATACGTAACGAACGGCAAGGTCGTCACGCGAGAGAGCGTTGACCGCGTGCCTAGCTGGGGCAGCTCCCATGTACTGGTCGCGGTGCCTGAGATGGACGAGGACGACGTGCATGACCGCGGCGACAGGGAAGCGCTGCTGGGGCATACGAAAAGGGGCAGCCAGGACAGTATTGGGCCGAGCAGTCCGCCACTGGCCTCGTCGTCAAGGATGACCCCGCCGCGGATCGAGATCGAGGAGTCGGACATCGTCGGGGACGTGGAAAAGGCGTGGGAGCGAAAGCGCGAGAGGAGCCGGTGAGGAACGAGAGTGTTCCGCCGCCGCCGACGGAGGAAACGGGACGACGACGAAAGGAACGGATATACCCTTTTGATTTCGATTTTTCGAACTTTGCTTTCCAACATGGCAGCCACACGGCCTGTACTTTCTTCTATCATTTCTTCTCATTATATCATATGGGCACGGCGTTCAGACAAGGATTGGACGATACAGGAAAAAAAGGGAGAAGATAAGGGGGGGCGGGGGGTGTTATTTTCAAAATCACCCGGGTTGCACATATCGCTCGCTCTCTAATTGTTTTTTTGAGATGTTTGTACTACGATATCCCACTGGCCTCGTACCATATGCAAGTCGTTAGCAGGTGTAGATCGGTTCCAACGAAACCTATGCATGACTGGCAATTTCACAACAACCCTGGTTGACTTGGGCGCAGTCGTACGTCACTACATGGAGCGAAAACGACTCCCGGCCCAAGTTGAGTCTTGGGGGCGGCCGTTGGGAGAGGCCAAAGCCAGTTGGTTGCTATAAACATGCGTTTGCGCGGGGGGGGGACGGGGCGCAGCGAAGCAGAACCAACAACAAACATGGGGGGGGGGGCGGACATCGGTTTGCCCCCGTCGTTCTCACGACCGCGGCCGAGCCGGCTTCTCCTACGATCCCCGAACCGACAACTGGGCCCAAATATCCGGACGCTGGCCGCTTCCGCGCCTCGGCCCGCCGCCAGGATCAATCCGCCTTCTTCCGGCTGCCGCACGAGGTCAAAGAGCCGATATACCGATAGCTGATACGATCCGCGGGTCTCAGACAGCACATCTTCGTCGCCGGCGGTACACCCCACACCCGTTATGTCGTCGAGGCGGACGAGGGCTTGAAGATATATATATATATATATAAAAAGGACTGGGGAAAGATCGAGATGGCTCTGAGCAAGTAGTTCCGCGAGCAGCTGTCGTCAATCTTCAAGGACGTCACAAAGAGGGTCCTCTGCATCAAACACAGCCGAGCTGGCTGCTCAGGGCAACGTGACCGTGATCGGTGACGTGGAAGCGGCCCGGGAATTCTTGGAGATTACGGTGATCGAGGTGAGCACGGAGACGGTCATCGTGGGGGGCTTCGTTTCGATATTGCTCGGAATCTTCCTTCACGCGTCCAACGCGGATGTCCTCTACAAGGTTGAAGTGCCGGACCCCGTGCCGGTTCCCAAAGCCAAATTTTAGCAGCCGGATCAGGATACGCACACTTGCGGCGGGGAACGAGATTACGGCTGCGTCAAAGTCAGGTACAGCCTATAGCCCCCGAGGGCACGGCTGCAGGCCGGCTCCGATTCGAAATATCAGAAACATGGCCCTCTAGGAGGTTTGGGGAATTTCTCTTTGGCTATTGTCCCGAGACCTTTACTTGTTTCAAGCTCCTGGTACTAGTTGTATCAAGTGCCTCTAGCACACTCACTTATACGCGCCTTCTTTTTCATTTTATTGCAGATGAATATAAGCTACGCTGTTTTGATCATCTCCCCCTACTTACATATGCTCTCGATAGTGACAAGTTCAAGATATCACCGCAAGCGGCGCGGGATTAACCGTCTGCCGTCGAGGTGATTGAGTGCTGTGTGGTGTTTCTAGAAGTGTTCTTACACACTGATACATTTGCCCTCCTATGCGTTGCTCTTGTGCGTAAAAGTAGTGATGAGGTGAGATATTTCCACACAGGCAGAAATGGGAGAAGAAAAGGGATGGAACTCAGCAATCAACGGTCCACAACGGAGTGGTGTAAAATGTACCCATGCTGGCATGGTATTAGATATTGAGTTATTTTTCAGCGTGCCTACCTGCCGAGACCAACTCTCGGTACTGAAACCTGTCAATGCACAGAATGGGCGAGCTTGGCTGATTTGTGTACCTTTGGACGCCGGCTCGCATCAAGAACCCATGCAGTCTTATTGGACTCCTTCCAGACGAGGCGCCTCTATCTCCCCTTCCACCTCACCCGGCTAGCGTACTGCGCGAACCTTACGACCTCTTCCTGCGCCAGCAAGAGCTCGACGGTGTGGTAGTGCCGCGCGAGGTCCTCGTGGCCGGCGAACCGGTGCACAAAGGAGTGGCACAGGCGGCACAGCCAGGCGACGTTGTTGAGCTCGTCCTCGCGGCGCCAGCCGCGCTTGACGGCCTTGGCGTGGACCATGCGCGGGATGAGGTGGTGGTACGTCAGGCCGATCCAGTCCCGGCCGCACAGCTCGCACCCCTTCGGCCTGGCCCCGGCGTCGACCGGGGGCGGCGGCGGGGCCGCCCTCCGGGCCCGGGAACGTACTTCCCCCAAGAAGGGGCCGCCAGGAAACTCATGGCGCGCCCTGGCTTATTCCGGGTCCGACAATTGCCCGTACCCCCCCCAGCAAATCCGGCAGACCTCCGGGGAACAGGGCCCGGCAGGGAATGTCCGCCAACCTCCGAACCCCCGTGAGGGGGGGGGGGCGTAAGCGGAACCCCAAGGACACGGGTCCGCCCGTGTAGGGCGGGTGTGGTTAAAGGGCCCCAAAGGTCCCGGGGGGAAAAGGTGATGGTTCATCACTTGGCAAACTACAGGCACTAAGGTCTAAAACTATGCAGCCGGGGAATAGGAGAGGCGGCGGTGGGATGGCAAT